GGCGGCATAATCATCGGGGGAATCGGAGGGCACCGAAGTGACCACTCCAGTGCCCTTGTCCTCCTTGATGCTCAGCATGGGCAGCGTGTATACGATTTTGTGCGGGGTCAGAGGAGCCGAGAGGGGCACTCCCAGCAGCTCTTGGCCAGTCAGTTCAGCCAGCACCTTGACATCACCCTCCTCGGCTGTGAATCCCTGGTAAGTCATGTTTCTGGCCGCTCGCCGTGTGCTGATCCACACCTCGTTATTTCTGCTGGTCTGCCAGGCAATGTACTTGATGTCCGGATGCAGCCAGCAATTGGTCTGGCCATACATCGTCTCCGGACGCAGAGTGGCGGCCACCATGTAAATCGGCTGCTTGATGGAGCTGAAATTAATAAGATTGCAGGATATATATGAATTTTCTATTGAGTATTTGACAAAAATTCAATTTTCAATTGAATATTCTTCATCTGGTACCAAATTCTGTACCATTTAAACTGAGATTACAAAATCATATTATAGAGAAAACCCTTATTTGTACCTCAAAGCCTTTGGCGCCTCCAGCACCTTCATCTTGATGAGCGTGTACTCCTGGGGACCCACTCCCTCGCCGGAAGAGCGATCGTGGTCCATGCAGGGCTGCCCATCCTTGGGCGAGTAGATGGTGTACCGCTTGCCGTACATGATCTTGCCCCTTGCCTTCAGGTGATTGAACTGCCAGCGTACGAACGAATCGAAGTAGGGATTGGCATCGGTGGTGATGAAGGTGCGCCGCCAATCGATGTGCACGCCAATCCGCTTGAGATCCTGCACCGCCAGCGGTGGGAAGTAGTTAAGCCAGTGCTCGGCATTGGCAAAGTCCTTGATTTCCTCGTCCTTGAGGCCGAGGCTCTGCATGATTTGCCATTGATATTTGGCGGCTCCCGTCTTGGCCACCGCCTTGCTCTTCTTTCCCTTCGACTTGTCCTTGGGCACTTCGGATGCGGTGGTTTCCACGGCAGCTGGGGCCACATCCTGGCTGTCCGGGAACGTTGGTGGAAAGCCGAACTGCTCCAATTCCCGGGTTAACTTATCCGCACAGGCCTTGATGGGCATGCCAGTGCAGTGGAAGCCAAAGGGCCAGAGGACACGACGTCCCTTGAGGCGGTGATACCGCACCGAGTACTCCGCCTTGGACAGGGAGAAGGTGTGACCCAAATGGAGGCGTCCATTCATGTAGGGAAACGGAAAGGTCACAAAGAACTTCTCCGCCTGGCGTTTTTTGGGCGCCGTCGGCGCATCCGACTGGTGCACCTTCTCCAACTCCCATCGCTGCTGCACTTGCTGCTCGATCTTCTGAAGATATTCCACCTTAAAGGTGCCTTTCCGTTCGCTGGTGGCCTATGGCATATAAACTAATTAGCATGTGTACAATATTTGCATTTTAAATGCAGTCATTCAGCGGCGAATTGCATCAGCCGGCATGCGTTCGTGGCAATTTCGATGAGTCATTAATCGAGGGGGGATTTTCTATACCGATAAGAACTCACCATTGTCGATTTGATGCAGGCACTTGTAATTGTTTAAAACAATTCTTTTATTCAGATTGCCGCACTCAACAGAAAATAAAATAAGTTTCGCACTGCAACGTGTTTACCTTCGCCAGTGTGACCGTGGGTGATTACTGTTAAAATAATACCATACGAGCTTTTCGTATTTTATTTATACCATTTTCACACTGCTAAACCATTTTATTTTTGTCCGTTTCAATATTTTGCTTACGGCAATCTATCTATCAGGCCGGGCGGTATATTTTAACGAACGATCGACGGTCACACTTCAAATTTAACCTAGTTTTTTTTTCTTAATTAGTTGTGAAAAGTTTTAGGACATTTAGATAAATTGTAACTTAAGTTAACCGACCAGATTGCGCCAACACGTGATCCCGCCAAGATGCGACCAGTATTTGCCTTTCTGCTGCTGGCGCTCCTCTGCTTTGCGAGCACAAAATCGGAGGAGAGTGACTTCGAGGAAGACGATGGTGATTTTGCCGAATTCGACGATGGCAATTTCTACGCGGAACCAGCGGCCAAAAACGCGGACTCCTTTTCCGGCGGAGCAGGATCGATCCGTGAGGATCAGGTTGCGGCCCCCAAGGACTCCACCCAGTCCCGCAAGCCAGCACAAAATGTGGAGAGCGACGAGGAGGATGGTCTTGTGGAGGACGATGACGAGTTCGAGCACTTTCAGGTAAACAAAGACAGGTGTTCGGTTTTCCATGGCGTGACACAAGGGTTAAGAACTTTGATCACGTACTAAGCCTATCGATTCAAATGCTTCATTAATTAGTAATTCTGTCTAATTGGATTGGTTTTAAGTGCCCTTCTTGGACTATAGAATGTCAAGGGAGAGGCTACAATTCCAATATATATTTTTAACTAACCATTAATTAATTATATCAAGCGTTTTAAACTTTCATCTTTTGTGACAGAAAGTATTTTATTTAACTTTCTTTATCTCTAAGTTTTTTAAAAAGCTGTTTTTAAAACTCGAAGACATTATAAGCCTGTAAAATTTGTTAAAGTGTTATCATCACTTGCTTAATTATGTAACTAGATATCAGTTAATTTAAAATAAAATAAGTTTCTTTAGCTAAAAAGGAACAACATTTGTAAACAATTTTGATAACTACTTCAACAGTTGTAGGCAAATGTTTTCTGCTAGTTTATTAGATCTGGTCTAATTTTATCACATTGATATTTCTAAAAAGTATACCAATCTGGCTAAAATAAAACACCCATTTTGATATATTATATTTTCAGGATGAAGAAGAGTTCGAGGGTTACGATGGCGGAGACTCCAAGGACCCGCCCATCGACCAGAAGGTTGAGCCCAAACTGAACATACCCAACATACCGCTCCACTTCCGCACCCACTGGGACTCCTACTGGATGGAGATGCTCATGGTGGCCGGCCTGTTGGCCTACTTTGCCAACTTCTTTGCGGGCAAGGCGAAGAATGCGCGTTTGGCGCAGCTCTGGTTCAGCACGCACAGAGCCCTGCTCGATGAGAATTTCGCCCTGGTGGGGGACGATGGCAAGGCGGATAACGAGAATCCAGGACTGATCAAGGAGAGCGAGAGTCTCTACACCTTGTGGTGCTCTGGCAGGACCTGCTGCGAGGGCATGCTCGTCGAGCTGAAGATGATCAAGCGACAGGATCTGGTCTCCTTGGTGGCGGGATTAATGCGACCACAGCTGGATCAGGCCCACATCAAAATCGAACTCACACGCGGCGTAATGGATGCATTTGTATTTGCAGTCGGTACCAAAAAGACCATTACCAAGGTCTTTAAAGAGTACACAGATCTGGTAAGCCCTCGAATATATTTACACTGTGCTATATGTTTAGCGATTTGACTTTCTGTCCCTGAAAGTATTAAACTCCTTTGGGTTTTTCAAGCTTAGTTCAATACTTAAAATATTGTAGCTTTATTGTAGGTACGGTCATAAAATAACATTATGTTGCTATAATTTCCGAAACTAAAATATATATTATTCATACCTTTAACTAAGATTATACCCATATTTTTTTGCAGAGCAAGTTCTGTAGTTTAGTCGGCAAGCCGGAGGATCGCTACAACGTGCCCACCGGCTTTGGTGTGCTCTCCGAAGTTCCGGAGGCCACGTCCGCCATACTCGAGTCACGCGTTATCACTGCACTTAACAAGTACCAAAGCTATATCGATTACCTGCACATCTCGGACCAGTTCAGTGGGCCCATCCAGCAGGAGGAGGGCGGCACCCTCAAGCAGCCCGAGACGAAGGCCGTTCTCCTGGCCGGCTTCAATCTGCCCAAGCACGCCGAAATGGAGACCATTAAGCCGTTGTTATTGTTGATCTTTTATTTGATGGAACGCCTGAAGACCTACCGCATGTCCAAGGAGGTAGCTAACCATAGATTACTCTTTCTTTCCGAATTATCTTGTGACTTATTATATCATTTATTTTGTAGGGCAAAGCCAAGTCGGACAAGAATCGGCAGCGCGTCGAGGAGGAGTTCTTGAAGAGCACCCATGCTGCTCGTGCTGAGGCCGCCGCTCAGCGTCGCGAGGACAAGCGCAAGCAGGAGAAGGAGCGCATCCTGGCCGACGAGGATCCGGAGAAGCAGCGTCGCTGGGAGGCCAAGGAGCAGAAGCGGCAGGCCAAGCGGAATGCGCCCAAGATGAAGAGGCTGGCCGTCAAGTCGCTGTAGATCTACGTCGCCAGTGTGTGCCATTTGCACGGCAAGGAGCGCTCCTCCTTAACGTACACAAAAACCGACCATTTGTAGCTCTTCCTCTCAAATGCCACAATAAAAGCAATATCTATTTGTTTCCTATGGAGCGCCAAAACAAAAATAGCCTCTGTGTCTACCTAAACTGGATAATTTAAAGCGATAAGCAACGATGAGATAGTGGGTGAGATAAGTAAGTACAAGCCTTTGTAATATAAGCTATACGTACGTTATAAGCAACTGATTTTTACAGTGTAGAATGAATTCATTTTTTTCAGTTTTCAGTCGAAGGTTTGTATGTGAGTAACGAACAACTCTATTCGGATAAGCCTACAAAATATTTATAATTAATGACTAATGCTTGTAAGCTCCTTGAAATAAGTTATATTAAACCTATTTATATTTATATTAATATTTATATGATCTTTGAAGTTAATTATGAAGTATGTAAGCTTTACTTAGTTATTTTGTTGAACGAAAGAACACAATTATTTATTATTTTGACTGGGATTCAGATAATAACAATTTAAATGAGCTATGGCCATCTTATTTAACTTAATTGTAGAAATAGTAGATACGATCAAATCTCACAACTTAATTATCTAAACAGGAAAAATATTTGTATTTACTGTAGCTATTTATATTTAAATACTTATTTATTATTTGTATATTTATAACTGATCATAGCTCACAACTTATTTAGTTAAATAGGAATACTAGTAAGATCCCCTGTAGTTATTAACGTTTAACCACTTATTCAGCTATTTAGTTGGCCGAAAGAATACTAATATTTATTAGCTTAACAGAGATTTGGATTACAAACAAATTGGAATGAGCAGTTTGCGAATCGAACAATTTTTTCACAGGCACGGTACGTTTGATGAGCTTCGAGTGATCGATACCCAGCCAATTCAACACTTGACGGGGAAACAGTTCTCGTTGGACACATACGCTATGTGATTGCGCAGCGTTTTGATCTGTTTCTGGGCGGCATCGAAGCTGTAGGACAGGGTGTTCAGTTGGCCCTGCATCTCGCGGATGACGGCCTCGCGGTCGTTGACCGAAAGCGAGGCAGTTGCTCGGCACTGGGCCAACTCCTTCTCCAGCCGATTGATTTGCTCCTGCTGCTGCGACTTGATCAGCTCGGCTCGCTCCTTGGTGCCGGCTATGATCTTGGCCGATTCGGTGCGCAGCGTGTCGAGATCATCTTGGGTGGACTTGAGCTGCTCGCAGAAGAGATCCCGCTGGCGGAGCAGCTCCTCCAGTTCGTTACGGGCCTGGGTCAACTCCATTTGGCACTGGGCCAACTGCGGACGCACATCGATGCTGGGCTGCTCCAGTTGGGCCTTGCAGGCCTTCAGTTCCTTGCAAACCACCACCAGTTTGGTCTGCATCTCATCCTTTTCCTTGCAAACCTGCGCCAACTTCAACTGCTCGTTCTCCAGCAGCTTGGGGAAGTGGAGCAGCTCGTTGAGCTTCTCCTGGAACTTGGCTCGGATCTCCTTGACCTCCGTGTTGATCTGCTGCTCGATGCGCTTGTTGTTCATATTCAGCTTCTCCAGCGAGACGCACTGCTCCTCCACTTTTTGCTGCGCCAGCAGGTACTTGTTGCGGTAATCCTCCAACTGCTGCGACTGCTCCTTCATGATGCACTTGAACTCCAGCTGCTCCTCCTTCAGTTCGTTGACCCGGGCGCGAAGTAGATTCAACTCGGCAGCATCGGCATCCCCATCGCCTCCTTTCGATGGACAGGGACCGCAGATGCCCTTCATTCTGGTGAGGTGGGGATATGGGTTATTTATTTAAGTTTTTATACCCGTGAAGAATACATTTCTGCCCCTATTAAAAATATTTATTCTTGATCAACATATCAGCCTAACGAAGCAAGTTTATATAGCCAAACTAGACACTCAATTTAAAATCTATATGGGTAAATTATTATGATCCTTTGTTTAAAGTTACCTTTCTACCAAGTCATTTTTTAAAATTTTTAAAAAATCGATACAAAATTTGTAACAGATTTGTTTGAATGCAGATTTGCTGGCATTAAAGCCACAAACTTTTAGAGGTACGCCTTTTTTAATTCGGATTTCTGAGAGAAAAGTTATGCAATTAAAGGAGCTGGGCTTCGGTCATTTTTCGACAAACATCCATATTTGGGAAAAATTGAAAGGGGTACCCTCATCAAAATTTCAAGAAAATCGACCCGAAATTACAAGCCAATATTTAAACGCAGATTTATGGGAAACTAATCCAAAAACCTAAAGAATTAAGTCTTTTCCAAATCGGATATCTGTAAGAAAAGTTATGGAATTAAATATGCTGGTTTTGGTTCACTTTTCTGCAAGGCTTTTTTTTAAACTTAAATTTCATTAAATCGCTTAGAAAATCAACACAAAATTTAAGAGTAAAATTTGGATGCAGAATCCTAGAACACTAAACCACAAAGCTTAGGAAGCATGCCTTTTCAAAATCGGATTTCTGAGAGAAAAGTTATGCAATTAAAGGAACTGGGTGTGGGTCATTTTTTGACAAACATCCGTTTTTGGAAAAAATTATAAGGGGTACCATCATCAAAATTTCTATAAAATCAAACCATAATTACTAGCCAACATTTAAACGCAGATTTATGGGAAACTAATCCAAAAACCTAAAGAATTAAGTCTTTTCCAAATCGGATATCTGTAAGAAAAGTTATGGAATTAAATATGCTGGTTTTGGTTCACTTTTCTGCAAGCCTTTTTTTTAAACTTAAATTTCATTAAATCGCTTAGAAAATCAACACAAAGTTTAAGAGTGAAATTTGAATGCAGAATCTTAGAACATTAAACCACAAAGCTAAGGAGGCATGCCTTTTTAAAATCTGATTTCTGAGAGAGAAGTTATGCAATTAAAGGATATAGGTTTAGGTCATTTTTTGACAAACATCCGTTTTTGGAAAAAATTGAAAGGGGTACCATCATCAAAATTTCAAAAAAATCGACCCGAAATTACATGCCAACATTTAAACGCAGATTTATGGGAAACTAATCCAAAAACCTAAAGAATTAAGTCTTTTCCAAATCGGATATCTGTAAGAAAAGTTATGGAATTAAATGTGCTGGTATTGGTTCACTTTTCTGCAAACATTTTTTTTAATTTAAATTTCATTAAATCGCTTAGAAAATCTACAGAAAATCCAAGAGTGAAATTTGAATGCAGAATCGTAGATTACTAATCCACAAACCTTAGGAGGTATGCCTTTTTAAAATCGGATATCTGAGAGAAAAGTTATGCAATTAAAGGAACTGGGTTGAGGTCATTTTTCGACAAACATCCATTTTTGGGAAAAATTGAAAGGGGTACCATCATCAAAATTTCAAAAAAATCGACCCGAAATTACATGCCAACATTTAAACGCAGATTTATGGGAAACTAATCCAAAAACCTAAAGAATTAAGTCTTTTCCAAATCGGATATCTGTAAGAAAAGTTATGGAATTAAATGTGCTGGTATTGGTTCACTTTTCTGCAAACATTTTTTTTTAATTTAAATTTCATTAAATCGCTTAGAAAATCTACAGAAAATCCAAGAGTGAAATTTGAATGCAGAATCGTAGATTACTAATCCACAAACCTTAGGAGGTATGCCTTTTTAAAATCGGATATCTGAGAGAAAAGTTATGCAATTAAAGGAACTGGGTTGAGGTCATTTTTCGACAAACATCCATTTTTGGGAAAAATTGAAAGGGGTACCATCATCAAAATTTCGAAAAAATCGACTTGAAATAACAAGCCAACATTTAAACGCAGATTTATGGGAAACTAGTCCAAAAGCCTAAAGAATTAAGTCTTTTCCAAATCGGATATCTGTAAGAAAAGTTATGGAATTAAATGTGCTTGTTTCGATTCACGTCTCTGCAAGGCATTTTTTTAAATTTAAATTTCATTAAATCGCTTAGAAAATCAACAATAAGTACAAGAGTGAAATTTGAATGCAGAATCTTAGAACACTAAGCCACAAACCTAAGGAGGTATGCCTTTTCAAAATCGGATATCTGAGAGAAAAGTTATGCAATTATAAGTGCTTGGCTTAGGTCGCTTTTCGACAAACATCCATGTTTGGGAAAAATTAAAAGGGGTAACATCATCAAAGTTCCAAAAAAAAGTCTACCCTATAGCTGTTATAGGAATAATCGGGTAATATTTACTTAACTTGGTTGTTTTTTTTTTTTGTTGCCTAATATGGTTATATATTAAATCATTTGGGAGCCATTCCTTGCCTGCAAGGGTATATAAACTTTGGCTTTCCGAAGTTTCCCTTCTTTTAATACTAAATGAATGGTTTAATTTTTAAATGTAGCTTAAGGACAGCCCTACCTTTTCTGCAGCTCCTTCATCTGGCAGTCCTTGCGCTGGAACTCGGTCAGCAGGCGGGTGTAGTTCTCCTTCATCTTCTCGTACTTGTCGGCCTTGGTGTTCCGCTTGCCGCCGCAGATGACCAGCGGATCGGGATCCTCGGGACAGGGAGGCCGCGGTGGGCATGGCCTGGAGCAGGGACTGGCAGCCTCCTCCGCCTCCGCCTCCCCATCGTCGTCGTCCTGGTAGTCCGGGCAGGGCTCTGGGCCATCCCGATTGCTCACCTCCTGGAGCAGCTTCTTCACCGAAGCCTGCATGCTCTGGATGCGTCGCTTCAGCTTCTCCATGGACTCGCACTTGCCAGGCGATGGTGCAGCAGGCGGCATGGGACAGGGTTTCTTTTTCGGTGGAGGTGCACATGGCGGACCCATGCTGCTGCTGCTGCTCTCCTCCGGTGGACATGGGGGCTTGGGACAGGGTCCTGGACTGCAGACTGGCTGCTTTTTGCAGCTCATTATGGCACAGGCTATCTCCTCGATCATTTTCTTGTCCTCCGGACAGGCGCCCTTCATCTTCTGCATGGCCTTTTGCAGGGCGCAGATCAGCTTGTCATCCTGGCCAGCCATATCCCGCTGACCGCCACCAGCTCCTCCACCACAAACACTGGCACAGGAGCTGGCTTCATCCGCACAGGGATCTGTGCCACTGCCAGCCGGGGCACAAGGACCAATGCCACACATATAGGGCGACAGGTTGTCCTCATCCACAGTGGTGGTCATGGGCAGCTCCTTGTAGTGCCGGTGCGAGCCAAAGTTCTGCAGCTGCACGGCCCTGTTCATCATGGTGTGCAGCTTGATGTTCTCCTGCTCCATGCAGATCCTCAGCCTCTTGATCTCCCTCAACTCATTACGCGTCTTACACGGCTTGGCACACATATCCATTATGTTGCTCTTGATGTCCTGTATTATCTTGTTCTGGCAATCGATCTCCTTGATCAGCGCCAAGTACTCCATATACATGCGCGTCTGCTCCGGATCGTCCGAGGATTCGCCCAGCTTGGAGAAGAGATCCTCGTCGGGACCCTCCTCCATCATGTGCTGCTCGCCCAGGTACTGATTCTCATCGTCCTCGTACTCACCACCCTCGTCCGTGTACTCCGTGTTCTCCGCCATCTCAGCTTCTCAATATTCACTTTAACTTTATACCAAAATTTAACCAAGAAGTAAGTCTACCTATCTATCTATCTGAAGTTTCTTTTTTTTTCGTTTTTTATCCAGTTAGGATTACTAACGATTTTGGGCCACTTCCAATCTGGTTAAAATTTTAACACATATTCTGAAGGAGAAAATTTCGAACAAAAGTTTCAGAACGAATCAGTTGTTTTCTTCGTTAACGAATAAAATGAACTGAAAGATCGATTGGACTTCTGCCTTGGCAATTGGCAACAGATTTGGAATGGCCTGCTCGGATTTTGGGGCGGAGAACGAAGGTTCACGGAGCTCTACGTTGGGCTACCTCCAGTTAAAGTCTAGCTTCTCCAGAAATCTGGAGGATCAAACAAATCTTCTGAAGGAGAACAATGTTTCAGTTAATTTGTTCGGCGAAACAAACAACTATATTTACTACTGCCGCTACTTGAATTGGGTCAAAATTAAAACGCAGTCTAACTTAAAGGCAATGCAATTTTTTAATAAATAAATAAAATTACTTGTTTTAATAAAATAACTCTTATGACGAAGTTAAAATAAATATTAATTAATGTTTTAAAATGCTTATGCTAAAACAATTTTTATTGTTGTACTTTAGAAACAAATTTAATTAATTAAAGCAAAATAGCTTTATTATTAAGGTTTTTTAGTTATACCTATCATATATTTCCTCCTCCGCAACTCTTATTTCCGCGAACCACTATTATAATGCCATACGAGTAGGCGTAACATCATATTTTCTATCAAATAATTTTCGTAACGTCTCAGGCAAAAATATCTTCAATTTTTTTGGGAAACGAATGTGTCATAACGTTTTAAAAAATTCTCTGTTGGCCAAAAGCAGTGCAAAAAATTAGACAAGTGAATTTACAAACGAAATAGGCTAAATTTTCGTAGATGTTAAAGCCATCCAAGGGGTCACTGGCCACAAGACAACGCACACTTGGATTCCGACCGCAGAATCGTGCTAAAATCGAGGATCACAACCAGGAAAAAGACTCAATGGGCGAGGATTTCGAACTGGAGGAGAAGGGCGGAGATCAGTTGGATGAGAAGAGTAGCTATGTCTGTCTATCCCGGCGGAATTCCAAAATCCAGGGCTCGATGAGTGCCAGCAGTTTGGGTTTCAGGGATCACATTCCCGACGGAGAACCCGAATCGGAAGGTTATCGAAAAAATCACAACTCTGAGAGAAGGTCAAAAAATACACCCGATTCAGAAGCCATTGGCGACAAGTTAAAGGATGAACTCTGCAGATATAAGCAGGAGCTCAAGGAATACAACGAGACCACCAAGGACCTGGAGGAAAAGTATATGAAGATCAATTACGAGCTAAGCGAAATGCAGCAGAAACACGATCGTTTTGTGTCCAGCCGAGGACAAACTTCGGAAATGGATATGGAAAGTGAGGGCGATCCGGATAATTTCTATAGTTCGGCCAGCAGTGTGGCCTCGCAAATGACGGTCAAGCGGAAGAGTCCCCAAATTCTGCACAGCAATACCAGTTTCATGACCGTTCTCTCGGCCCGGAGTTCCTGTGACAACATTTCTCGTAAAAAATACTCCTCCGAAAGAAGCAATCATCAGCGAAAGGATCATCGAAGTAATGAAAATAGTGTATTTGATAGCCGTGTTGTGGAAACACTGGCCAGTCGACATGCTAAGCGGAGGAAGAGATCCTTGGAGCAGGACGATCGGGAGAGGGAGCCCGCCGCCTCCTTCAAGGATGTCTACAATGTGCTAAAAGACGTGATTAACACCTCACAGGTAAGCATCATTAATGAGGAAATATATGATACTCTAAGTGAGTAAGCAAAAGTTGCTTTTGTTTTTAAGAGGTGTCTATATCAGGTTCGTTAAACAGAAACAAGTAGGAGGAAGCGTTTATAAAGGTTGTTATTTATTATATATCTGGATCAATAGCTATGTGAGTTTGAGGGTTTTAAAGTCTGAGATTTGGGATCTTAAATGCAGTTTCTTGTTGTCATTTGTTTATTGGCTTAGTGTCTATCGACACACCAAAAATATTCCAAATCGAACCAGTACTTAAGAAGTTATTAGGAAAATACTAATTATGACGTCACTGCATGTTTAAAAAAGGTAGTCCACATAATTGAGAGAGCGAAAGAGAGCGAGGGAGTGCTGCTTGCTCTCAGCGTAAAGTGTTGACCCTTGACGGTAGATGGCGCCACCCGATGGTGTATTTATTTCAAAATTTGTTAGCTAATATTGGTTTTACCCCTTTTCACCCAAAATCAGGACCACAAGTACAAGCATGATCGAGATCGGGATAGAGATCCAAGGGATACGGGTGACCTGAGGCAACTGCAGAGCACCATCAAGAGCTTGAAAAGCGAGCAGCTCCAATTCCGGACGCTTATTCGGCAGCAACAGGACCGGATTGCGGACTACCACACGCGATGTGTGAAGGCCCAGGACATCATGAGCAACCAAAAGCACGAGATCGACAAGCTGCACCTGAACAACAAGCAATTGGAGACCAGCATATATCATGACATTGACAGTCTGCGCTCCAAGATCGACACCAAGCTGAAGAGTGTGTCCCATTTGCCCAAGAAGATGCGCGAAGAGCACTCCAAATACGAGAAGGTAATGCGGGAAAATTGTCTGCTGGCGGATAAACTTCATGCCCTCCAACAGGAGGCCATGCAACTGAAGGTCAAGATCGATGATCTGGGGCGAAGAAAACTGGTCACCATCAATAGACTAAAGGCGGCCGAAAGGGATCTGAAGATATTCAAGAACTACAACTCGGCTCTAAAGACGGAAAAGCGAAAATTAACCCAGGAACTGTCGACCATGAAGGATCAGCTGGAGCAACTCCAGGCGAGCAGTAAGAGGCAACTTTCCCGCCATCGCGAGCAGAGTGAAAAACAGCGCAGGGATCTGCAGAAAAGGATTTACGACCTGGAACTTAAGCTGAGTAGAAGTCAGAACTCAACCTCCAGTTTGATTCAGGAACGGGATAGCCTGATAGCCGAACTCCAGACGCAACTGCACACTTTGGTTCACAACTTCGAGGTGTCGCAGAAACACATACGGGTGCTCCGGCGGCACATCTACTCCATGACCAATCCGGGCGGGAATCCGGGAATTCCTGGCGGTGCTTCTGCTGGCATTGGCGGCTCCCAGCGACCCAGTTTAATCAGGATCAATCATACGCCACATGGTTCCAGCACTGGACGCATCGGTAACCCGCGAACGCTGATGGGCAAGATCTAGATAAAGATTGGCCATATATAACTATAACCCAAGATCTAGAGATCATGCCCATCAGCTGTCCAGGCAATTTGAAGGTAAGGTTTTTATAGTCTAGACCATATCATCAAGTTGCCTGGACTTTTCACGCCGATATCGTCTCGATACTGACACTTTTATTTGGTGATCATGCAAACTAATCGTCTTTTTACAAACCCTGTTAGTATCTGGTTTTAATGGGTTAGGGATTTGGCAATTGGTACTACCTTTTTTAGAAATCCAGGAGTATGTGGAAATATATTTAGGTGTAAGGAAGCAAGCACACTGATAAAAAAAAATATATTTCTGACAATTGCATTCAAAAAACTTGTATTTAGATTAAATATTAAATCAAAGTATATTAAATAGCATGTTTTAAAATGGTTCCTATTTGATTTAAATGCATTTTATTTAAGTTAAATATGGTTTAAATCTAAATTTAATTTTTAGATATTAAAAAAAAAATTCCAATAACACTTTGAACAAGTCCTGTATTTTTAGGTTTTCTGAATAATATTATTCTAAATTTTTTTAACTAAAAAATGTTAAAAAACAAGAATTATATTATATTAAAGTATAGTCGTACTTAAATGTAAAGCTTCGTTTTTTCTGAGTGAAGTAAACAATAATAAATTATACAGTTTGAAATCCAACGTTGCAATCAAGAATCAAAATGAATAATTATGGAAACAAAATATTTATTTTTTGTGTTAATCATCCACATATATGTACCATAACACTTTGTATTTTTAATTTTTCAAATTGTGTGATGTTGTTTGAGCAGCTATTGCGTTTGATGGTGCTGATATATGAAGATTGTCATTACGGTTGCCCTGCTTCCAAAGTCTCGTGAAGGTCGGCTGATTATAGGGATTTGTGACTAATCCTGCGACGCATTCCTTGATATAATTCAGGCAGCAATTGCCATCCGAAAGGCAGGACTCAGTGCATCCACAACCCTCGTTTATATAGTGGCCTGAAATTGAGACTTGGCCACAACGAGCAGTGCAGTTTGCCATTTCGTAAGTTAATGTACCATGTACCAACTGGCTGTATCCTACACTATAGACCAGCATAAACTGCACCAAAGTCCAGAAAAATTGCATAACTTTAAATACTCCAAAAGAAGATGTCTATACCCAAGAAGCGAATGAACGACTGATCGATTTTTGATTTCCAGGGCATGCAGCGATTTTAAGGCCATACCAAGTGGGCTTATTTGGCTTCTTGTGATCTCATTCCAAATCTAAGTACTCAGCCAACAGTTGCCGGTTAAAATTGGCAATGTAAACAATAAATTTCCAAAGAAATCTGGCCTTATTATTGGCCTTTCTATGCACAGTATGCCAACAAATCGATCGGGTGTTGTATATATTAATATGTAAACAATTTCCACAGCCACTTTGAAGCGTGATTCTGCGCGAAATGTTTTTGGAAACGGAATCGAGTGGTTTTTGTAGGCGCCAGTGGAAAAAAAAGGGGCGGGGAATTGGGGCCGATGACAGCTGAAATAAAATGAAATTAAAACAAATAGGAAGCATTCTTCTGCGGAGAAAGAGAGCGAAAAGAACGAACGTCAGCCGGTCTAAATATAAAACAAAGATTCTCTCAGAAATAATTTTTAATATTAAAAAAAAAACTAGAAATGCCTAAGTTCAGTTCGACGACTACAAGATACCTGGTGTATGCACCTTGAAACGAAGACATGGCGTATACTTAATTTCATTTCAACTTTAAAATCAAAGTTAGTTAGCAAATTAAAAATATAAATAATATATATAAATACATAAAATTTGATTTAATTTAAACTTAAAAAGTAAAGTTATTTAAAGAATTAAAAACAGCTTTACTTCACTTAAATTTGTTGATTTGTAAATGTTCCCAAAACAAAATATTATTATTAAATTTGAGGGAATAATCATAAACTTATTTATTGAATTAAAAAAAAAAAAGATCTTAAGGTATATGTTTTGCCTTTAAAAAAAAATAAGAATATATTAAATTTGAGAAAATATTCATTGTTGTGAAATGTACTTTGTTTTAAAATTTATAAATGTCATTATTATAAAATATATCATTTGTCTAATAAAATAAGTCCATACAAGTAAATGTAATTAAAGGTTTTTTTACTTTATTTTCATTAAAGTAATTCAAAGTTTCCCTGAAAAATAACAATTATGATAACTGTTTAATCAGTGTTTTGTACTAAGTGCAATGATTTACATAAACTCATACTAATTTAAACTAAATAAATATCCTAAACGTGTACGTGGAACCATGTATGAATATCCACAGAATTTGTAGTTTCTGAATTATTTATAAGCCTGGCATACCCTGGCTATTTATGTACAGTGGGTAGCATATTATCGGAGATGGCCAGCGGGGAGCATATTGAAACGAAACGAAATAAAGCCAAAGGTGCGCCGGTGGTTTGTCGGTTTTTCAGTTTGGCTTTTCCAATGTGAGGGTCGTTCGTCGATTTGTGCTCGCCTCAGTTTGAATTTCGCACACGACGCGTCGCGAACGGACGAATATTTTGGTAGTTCATTGGGTAGGATTGGCATCTTTGCGCGTTGATGATGACGCAGTGCGTCGCATACCTCGCATTGGCGTTCCTCATTTTGTCACACGTGCGGGCAGCCGACGATGAGATGACGATGTCTTCCGGCTACGAATCTGCATCCAATAGCCCTGATTGCGTCATCCGTGCCACACTCTATGTGACACCATCTTATCCGGCCAGAAGTGGCCAGGATTTCGGCTTACCCTTGGACATAGATTGCAGTGGCAATAGCTCCCTAGAGCTCAAATCCTTTGATCTGGGTGCCCAACGAGTGGCCGGAAAGAGGCATGTACTCCTCGATGGCTCACAAACGCCGCCTTTGGGAATCTCCAGTTATGGCCTGGAGTATCTGGACAATTGTGTGGAACTGGAAACGCTGGAGATCCAAAAGTTCGTGGGTGATGCCAGCCTAAAACTAAGCTGTGGAGGAGCTCTACTACCTAATCTCACAGTAGTTGTGCTAAAAAACAATGAATTGGGCACTTTAAGCGAAGATACTTTTCAGGAGGTTCCCCACCTGAAACTACTCCACATAAAGCAGAACTCTTTGAGATATATGGAAAAGCTTAAGGCTTGTGATGAACTGGAGGAACTTGCTATCCAGGATGAAACGGATCTAGTGCTCAAAGATAGTGACTTCATACAGCAGCTGACAGAGCTGAAAAAACTGCGTTTGGGAAATCTTAAAATGATAGAAGAGTCATTTCTAAGTGTCTTGCCCGAGAATTTAACGGATTTGATAATCGAAGATACAGCCATACAGCCTGGAGATTTATTTCTCACAAAAGGCATAGCCAAATTGGTTAATATTAGCCTCACAAATTGCCAGCTTAAGAGTTTTACTTTGGATCCTCCACACAATTTGGATGTTATGCACTTAAACCTCAGTGGCAATGCCTTGGTTTATTTTAATATAAGTTTTCAAGATGGACCAAGTACTTTGGAGACCTTGGATTTGAGCAGAAATAAATTGGAGCACTTGAACTACACTTGGTTTTATAGAACCACTAATCTGAGGATTCTACACCTGCAGCAGAATAATTTCCATACACTTTCGCTCTACCAATTGGGCCTGATTTCTCCAGGGTCAATTCAACGTATCGATTTGAGATCCAACAATCTAATGAGTCTGGGGGATATAGAAAAAGCCAACTATCCCTACTGGAATCCACAAATACGTCTGCTAATCGATGGAAATCCCTGGAGCTGCCAATGGATATTGCATTTCTCGCATACGCAACCTCAACTATTTCGACTTTTCCAGTACTCCAAATACATATCCCACATCAATGTTAATGGCCTGAGTTGCAGACCCCAAGAGCCGCCAGTGGAGGAGACAACAAAGGCGAGAAGGATTCATGGATCAGTCGATATTGCGATTCCCAGGCCACATCATAGCTCAAATGTCAGCAGTTTTGAGGTACTCTACGGCAATCCCGTGCAACTCCATCGAAGTCAGCGATCTCTGGCATTAATAATCGTGTTCATGCTGCCTCTGGGCATAGCATTTCTCTTTCTCCTCCTCTATCTGTATCTCCATTGCGAGAGGCTCTTCCACTTGTCGTACTATATCTCGGGATTGCCCTGTTTTGGTGGCGAAAAATCAACACCTAGATTTGTGGATCATGTGGATATCGTACGCTATCCCATTCCAAATGGTGGTGCTTCACCAGTGGATCTGGACATGGAACTGCCAGATGGCTATGAGACGCCAGTGAGTGGTGGAACCTCGATCTGCAACTGCACGGGTCACAGGGAATCCACCTGCTCCAGGACCCATCATGTCACCTATGAATCCCTGCCAACTGAGCTGCCCTATCAACTCTATGCGGAGATCAAGGAGCAGGCGGATGAGAACAAGGGCGATAAGGATGGTATATTGGCAGGCACTCCAGTGCCCACGGCTCCCATCTACGATCATCTCTCCTTTGTGGAGGAATTGCCCAAACTGGAGGAACTGAGGGATATATCCTAAGAGCGAACCCACAGTCGAACTTCTTAAAAACTGAAAATATGAATAAGTAAATAGTTACTAAAACAATGTCTGTAAGAGCTGCATATAATTGCGCTACTACCTTTTAAACAAGTGCACTATATTTAGAATTTAACAGAGAAAAGTGATAAATGACTTAAAAATGATACTGATCGTGGGATAAAAAGCCGATTACACAGATCTTCTATTAAACAGATAAGTAATGTGAATTGAGTGTAAATTTAAATTGTAAGAAAAGCCTTTGCTTAACTGAATGCAGAAGATTGTCTAATATATAGTCTATAAAATAGTTATTGTTCTAATAATGTCGATATGCTAACAAATACAAAAGTGAGCTATAAACAAGTGTACTAATGTTTAATGTTGTACCTCTAAAAACTGTATCATACAAAAAAGATAAAACACTTAAAAAACATACAAATATGGACTGCAAGTTGTTCATCTTTAAAAACAAAGATGAAAATGTTGATTGTTTAGATCGATTGTTTTACAAAAATATAAACTATATTTTGATATTTAATCTGGAGGTGATAAACTACTGTTTTATTTATTTAACAAAACAGAAGTGAATTTAAAAGGCAAGAAAATACTATCAGAAATGAAAAAAAGTGGTAGAAATAATCTGAAAGATCTATTTGCTAAATTTTAAATGAATGTGTGACATTTCTCACTGAAGTACATTGCAAGTTCATAGTAAGTGTCATACGGACATTAAGAATACAAACAGAATGCCCATATGACACTTCCTGTAAATTTGCTGGCTGATTACATCTTTTAAAATAAAAAACATTAAAAAAGAACAAAATTCTACTAGTGCAAAGCAATTGAAGTGCCTCTGAAAGCTACTAACTTACAAAAAAAAATATTACTAACTTGCTATACAAAGAAGTTCGACTGTATTTATACTGCTGTTTTTTTATTGATTAGCTTAATTAGTTTTAAAGCCCTCTCGAAATTCGATAAAATAAAAAACAAATTTACATTATTATATTTGTCTCTATTTGTAAACTTAATTGCTCTGCCTTGCTTGGCTACTAATGGTTAAGATTGGCTACGTCTAGACTTCTTTAGAAAACAAGAAGAAATCATTTCATCGTGGGTTTCATTGAGCTTACTACAATACGCCGTATGATATTTGGTCTTTTAATTACGGGCTTAATGTCCTTGTTTTCTTCAGTTTCAGTTTCCAATGGCTTTTCATTTTCCTTGGCGACCTCCTCATTGAGCAATCTCTCGGCAGGACTTAAGTTGTGGACAATGGGATCGCTCGCACTAAACTTGACCGCCTTTTGCGAATCTTCGGCAAAAACTTGGCGTTTTTTGCTCAGGATAGAGCGCACATTGCTGGTATTGGTGGTATCTTTGATGGCCACAATCCGCACTGGAGTTCCCTTACGTTGTGGTTTTTGTGGCGTGGGACTGTCAAGGATTTCAATTGCTTCGATTTTGCTTACTCCAATGGGAGATGTCTCCTTGAAGGACTCTTCGCTGCTATCTTGGGTTTCGGCTTCTAGTTTAATAAACTTTACAGGAGTTCCCTTGCGCAAAGGTTTGGCAGGTGTCTCCGCTTTGGACTTTCCTGTGCCCAGCAACTCTTCATTGGACTTCACTTTTATGCCACCCAAAAGGTTCTTAACTGGCGTGCCTTTCATCAAAGGTTTGGCTGGGGTGTTCGTAGTTTTAACATCCTCTTCTTCGGCTTCATTTTGGTTCATTTCCTTTTGAGGGCTCTCTTTATAGTTTTCGAATTTTTGAATAGGCTTCGGAATAAATTCTAAATTTTCCAATTCCGTATTTAGTGGGGCCTCCTCTTTAATATTTAGTTGGACTTTCTCAACCACTTTTGAGTTGACTACTCTTTTTATTTTAAAACCCATTGTTGCTTTAACGGGTGTGCTGTTAATAAAGGGTTCTACACCATAATCTTGTGACTCTTTTTTCACTTTTACTGCCTCTTCAATAGGTTCCTTTTCCTCTGCTTTAATGGGCAGAGTTGTGGATGTGTTTTCCGTGGCAGTTATCAAAGAAGTCTTCATTGCAGTTAATTGAGCAGCTGGAGAGGGCGATGATGTAGCCACACTGACGATTCGTGGCAAAGCTGCCTTGAGTTCCGCCTCCCTGATGTCAAACTCCATGGCCTGCATGGGTTTGAAAGCGATCTTGTGCTCCGTTAGCAGATTTTCGCGATCAATGAGCACACAGCGTGATTTGAGGGACTCAAAGCGCCAGCTGGAAAATAACGTTTATTACTTTTTTTTGAAATGAAAGATTAGGCAAAAGTAAATACCGTGCCATTTCCTGCTGCACGGATCGCATTCGCTCCTCGAGTCCAGCCTTCTGGATGCGCATGCTGTGCAGCTGCGCCTTCAGCTCGTCCGTTTCGCGTCTAAATTGGGGATGAGGATTAGGCATTAGGGGTATGGAGAGGGGCTACACCCAACTGGTCACCAAAAACAGGCCGTAGCTGGTGAGGCTCAGCAACTGATTGCCGAGCGAGGCCAGCGCGGCGTCGACCAGGTGGGGCAACTCATACTTGCAGAAATCCAGCATCGAGTCCAGCCAAGTGACCGACTTCTCGCTGGCCAGCTGGCGCATCCGCTCCTGGGAGAGATTTAGCTGCTTCTCCAGACTGTCATTGGCAGCCATTAGCTGTCGAATGCGCTCGTTCAGTTTGTCTGTGAAAGGAATTGAAAGAATGAGCTTTAGTAAGGGTTTAAAAAGGTATAAAATTAATTTAATTTCTCTGATTCGAGTTGAAACATGAAAGTATTCCTACACAGGAGGTGTATAGAGGCAAATCGGAAGATTAATACCTTTAAATTGATCAAATTGGTGTGCCATATTTGTTAGTTATATGTTCAATCTTTGTGAAATAAAATATGAAAGTTCCCAGTGATACAGGAGGTATAAAAATTAAATTTAGACATTTAATACCCTCAAATGGATCAAATTGGTGAGTGATACTATTTGCAAGCTATAAGTATGATCATTTCTTATATTTTAATGGATACTATTGGAGAGTGATTCTATTTCAAAGCTATATATAACTCATATATAGCTCACTCTGGTGGAAGAAAGTATATAAATGGAAGCCAGAAGATTAATACTCACAAAAGGATCTAATTGGTGAGTGATACTATTTGTAAGCTATATGTAAACTCAATTCAAATAGTATGCAATGCTATTTCTTAGCTATATGTAAGATCTTATCTTAAAATGGATCAATTACGTGTCTGTTTCCATTTCTAAGCTATATAAGTGATCTTATCTTATTTCCAGAAAGGACTATAACTCTTTTGAAAACAAAATTCAAAGATTTCCCTATCCAATACCCACTCTGGTAGGTTTTATCCGCACTGCAGAAGATGGTGCTGCAGGCCTGCAACTCGGTGTGCATGGCCACGTTCTCCCGCTTCAGCCGTCTGATCTCGAACTGGCTGTCCGTGAAGGTCTTCTTCATGTCCAGGTAGCTCTTCTTCTGGGCCGCCAATAGCTGCTTCATCACCTGCCTTTGATCGTCCACCTCGGCGAACAACGAGTTGCCCTTGCGATCTACAGAAATGGTAATGGTAAATTACACTATATAAGTTAAATTTCTTGAAACGTATTTAAGCCATAAGTACCATTGTCTTTGGGGGCAGAAGTGAGCAGAGCTATCTTGGCATTGGCGTCCACCAGCTGCTCCTGGCAGCTCTCCAGCAATTGTAGCTTCTCCTCCAGTTCGTCTCGTTTGCAATTGAGATTCTGCTCCATGCAACTCACGCGATCTTCGAGGCATTCAATGGTTTTCTGTGTACAAATGAGTTACTTTAGATTTTGACTATATTAAAGGCATTAAGGGTTTAAGGGCAACCTCTTTTTCGGCCACAACCAGGGTGTTGGTGACCTGGGAGTCCTCATATTCCGAGAGTTTCTGCATCAGTTCGCTGTTTTCCAGTTCCAGGGCATTCAAACGGGCCAAACAATCCTCGTGGGTATCCGTTGACCTGGTTGCCGACTTATCCGCCAATTGCTTTTCAAAGGCAGCCAGTTTATCCTGTAGTTTTGAGGACTCCTCCACTTTGGAGTCGTAGTCCTGCTGCAGGATGTCCTGTTCCTCCTTCAGCGACTTGTACTTGCGACGCAGCTCCTCCAGTTCCTGGGAATCCGCTCCCGACTTGCTGGCCACCGGCTGGCTACTCAGTTGCTCCAGTTCCTGCGTTAAATACGCTTCTGCAGCCAAAGCGGTGTCCAGATTCCTTTTGAGCTCGTAAATCCTTTGCGCATCCTGGTCGCTCTGAACCTTCAATTGCTGATGACGATCGTGCAGCAGTTTGTACTCCTCCACAATGTCATCCACACTCAGGGCGTTCAGGTCCAGATTGTTATACATATTGCACTGTTCAAATTGCTTACTAGATCTCTTTCCAAAATTAACTTGTTTTTTTCAAAAAAGTGACGCTAGAGATGGTAAAACATCGATGCCAACCAGTGTTGCCAGGTGTAAGAACTGTTTTCCCCCTAAATAATCTCGCAGAACTTAACGATAACGATAAGAAGTATTACCCGCCAAAAATCAAATACTACAATTTAACAGCGATAACACTTAGCAGCACAAGTGCTGTTAGACGCGCATTAACAGCAGTGTTAATTTCAATGTTAGCGCCATCTGCTGGAAAACTCTGATATATTTAAAATTTGTTCAGTAATGTAGTCTAAAATCAAAAAATTAGATTTTCAAAATAAAAAACTAAAAATAAATCCTTATAATTATGATAAAATTAAACTAAAATGTATTTCTTTTTTTATGCTCTCGCAAAAATTGTCTTATCGTATTTATATATACATAAGTGAAAGTATTTAGTTTTTATTTCTTATATAATATTAATGAAAATGCAAAGAATAAAAATAAGTCTTAACAGTAATTGAAGAACATTATAATTTTAAAATAAAAATAAATAAAACGCATGCGCATGTTGTAAGTTTACCCACATGTTGTTGCCAAGGCGACTAATTTGTTTTTCAAAACAAACTTCACCTTCACTTAACCAAAGTATTATTTGGCTAAAGTAAAAGCTAGAAAATGCAGCAAGATGATGGCCAGGAAAAAACACAGCAGCTGCAGAACTTTCAATCGGATGACTTGCTGGAAAAATTGAAATTACTCAACTACGAGAAGCATTTGCTGAAGGAATTCAAACTGAAGCCGTTGTCACGTTTCTATTTCGTGAAGGCCACAAATCCCGGTGAGCAGTTCTATATGTTTACGTTGATATGCTGGTGGCTTTGCAAGAAACTTGGAAAGGATATGGAACGGCCACAGGAGTACGATGATCCCAACACTGTGGCTGCCAAAATCATTCAATTGCTTGGGGAGATTGTGAGTATTTAAATATAACATAATAATAATAACAATAAAGAGCTATTAATAATTCAATTTTAAAACTAGGTGTTAAGGTGTCATAAGTATGCAATGAAAAATTTTCGATTTTATATAGATATATTATATATAGATATATTTGTTAGTTTTTACTGTTCCATTATTTGATCTGTGTATATTTCATACTTAACTTCATATTACTAATACCAAACACCTTTTGCAAACCTTTAATATTTATTCTTCATAAATAGTTTTTGGCTTACAACAATTACAGTTTATAAAAAACTTATTTTATGCAAAAAAAAAAAAATAAAATATTTAATATAATAAAGCGAATTTTTAAACAAACGCTCCCTTTTTCAGGATGTCCCCGTCGACTTTCAACCAAATAAGCTGATACGTGGAGCCGGACCCATTTGCCTGATGGTCCTGGATGTCCTTTCCACGCAGGCCTGCAAAGTGGCCAAGGTGGGTTACCAAAAACTGCACATCGCCCAGGAGGAGGAGTTCCTCGGCGATTATCTCGAGGATAATGCTGAGATAATATTGGAGAAGCTGGAGGATGAGCAGAATGCAGCCGCTTTGAGTGACGACAGCGACATGGAGTTGGAGTCGCACAATTTCAGGCAACTCAACTGGCTAAATCGACCGCAAAAGAAGTCCATGGGTGATGTGAATCTGGATGAGCGGAGTCAGGAACTGAATGCCCGGATGAGTGACCATCAGGAGTGGCATTTGGAACTGGAGAGGGTGCTGCCCCATCTGAAAGTATTCGTGAAGGCAGATGCCCGCGACTGGAGAACACACATCACTCAAATGGAGGCCTATGAAAAGAGCATATCAGAATTGTCGGAAACCACCGAAACTCAGCTAAAGAAACTGCATAGTGAGTTCACATTCAGTTTGGAGAAAATCGAGAGTCGCGAGAAGCATCTGAACAACGAACTCCAACCGTTGATTCAGCAGTTCAAGGAACTCTCCATCGAACTGTCCGCCATTCAGTATGCCCAGAATCAAGTGCAGACGGACACGGAGAAGCAGATGGCCCAGCTCAGCGAGGTCATCATGGAGCAGGAGCTCAAAAAAGAGGAAATGGAGCGACGTGGCCAGGTCATGTCAGATGGCAGTGAGTATCAAGGGATAAGTTGACTAGAGGATTTGGGGATCAGAAAAAAAATTAGTATAATAAATGGTCGAGGTTATCTTGAAAGCACATTTCATTCTACTGAAATAATATTTCAGGATCAACAGTATAAATAAAGTTAGTAAAATCATGAGAAAGTCAAGGTTATTTTTAAATATTGTAGATAACCAAGAAAATGTTTTAATAATTATTTCAAGCTCAATAGTTGTAGTTTATACTCTTAATTCAAAAGCTAAATTTTTTCGTTTTCATTTCCATGATAAAGAAAAATAAAAGGATTTGGTTTATTTTGTAAATAATTTTTTTTGTTTTCCTCAAGTATATTCCTAGAGTAACATTTTGGATATAGTTTTTAAAAATTTATATAGTGAATATATAGGAATTGCTTTAAGAAATGTTTCAAGAAAAACAAAAATATATTTTAGGTAATATAAGAATTAGTGGCTAGAATCTTTTTTACATTTACGTTAGGATTAGGATGAGGCTCAAAAACTCTGTATTACCGACACCTTTGCCACTCTATTTACTCTGCAATGATAAGCGATCGCCTGTTTACATTCCTCGATCCCAGATTCTGGTCAACAAAATCAGAAATCCCTTTTTGGGAAACCACCCACAATGCTGTTTGGTGCTAATCCCAATCGCAATCCCATTGCCTTTCTTTGCTTTTCAGGTTCGGTGCAGCAGATCAGGAAATCGATCGTCAAGCTGAAGGAGGACATCAACCAGCTGAATCTGGAGGTGGCTCTGCTGGTGCATGCCCACGATCAAGATATTGTGGTGCGGCAGTTGCAGCAAACCACCGACCTGGCAAACAACCCATAGAATACACTGTATGCTCTATACCAAGCTGATAAGGAACTACTTAGCATACTATCTGATTATATGTACCATATATATCCCATCCAGGGGATGTCCCAGCCCGATCTTTTCACACCTCGCAAATGGGTGTGCGGTTGCTCTCGTTTACACTCGTTCTCAAAGAGATAACTCCACTGAAAAATAAATCACTGATAAAACAAGTTCACTAAAGAAACAAATTATTGAAAATGAGTTTATTTTTTTAGAGGGTTTTTCCTATAGACACATTGATAGATATTTTTGATGATATCTTGATTGGGTTTACTCTTTAACGTTTCTTTATTCTAAAGTTTTACTTTAAATCCTTAAATTTCTTTACTATCTTTTGTGGTCTTTAAAATTGATTAATCTTGAGACGTATTCTGTTAATCCAAAAAAAAATATTATAATATATAATATTTGCAATATAATTAGATTTGTTTGGATTTTTTCTATTTTAACTTCATTCTATATTTATTTTTAATAAATAAAAAATTACAATGATTATGCCTTATAACAATTTACTTCTTTTATTGTGTCATTTACAATTCATTATTCCAAAGATTGTAAACAATTTTATAAGCTATACATATATTGCTATAAATTAGTTCCAATTTTTATGGCAGCTCTTACTATTTTCATCATTTTTCTAAATGATTTTTCACTGTAGGTACGATTTTTTTGAGTGTATCGGTGCTAGAAAGCCTTTGGACCACCGGCGTTGACTCCGCCCGCTTTGACGATCGTTTGATTTGATTGCCGGTGCCGCTGATAAGTTTCGTAATTGGTTGCCAAGCCAATTGGGCGGTCAATTATCACCTCCTTGTTATCTGCTCCTTGGACAAATACACACACACACACACACACACACATGGTTACACCAGCAAACGCGTGCGACGATCCTTCGACGATCGATCGGAGATAACGGTACGGAGCGGAACGTAGGTCGTGCTAGAGCAGGACGGAAGCAGCAGCGGTACACCGACGGCAGTGGCGCACGTACTTGACCAAAGACGCCGCCGACAACTACATCTTACACAGCCATGCACTCCGAGAAAAAGTAAAGCGAAAAGTTCTTACCAATAATAGTATTTATAATTATAAACATACCTTTTCAGATGTAAGATCGACAATAGTGATTGGATTTATTACTATTAATTACAATCTGGTTTGGAAAATATGTATGATAATTAAAAAGACAAAGTGGAATATTTGAAGAAGTTGAAGTGAAATCAGTTTTATTTACAATTTTTTTTTATATATTTAATTATTTCTGATCGACATATTTAATGACTATGCTGAATTTTAAAAATGTGCATCATAATATTTAAAAAAAAACTTGAGGCAGCTAAATTTATTTCTATAGTAAGAATAAAATAAATATTAAAAAAAAAAAACAAAAGGTACCTAAATTATTTTTTTTTCAAAAACAATTTTAACAATTTTCTTCAGTGTAACTGAAACCATCACCTAAGCAAACCACTTTGAACCTGGAAAACCCTCGAAAACCAGTAAAGAGGTGTTGTGTGCGCTGCATCCGCGGCCACATTGCGCATCTGCATCGGGTATTTCGCATCCAAAATACCATATCCTACTTACCTCTATTCAATGTTTGGCCACTTTTTGGCGCGGTAACTGATAAGCCAAAAACGGAGTTCTCGGTTTGGCCCGCAACTTGTTGTCATTTGAGTTGCGGCCTGCCAAAGGTGCTAAAAGGTTTTTCCCAAATGCTAGCCACACAAAGGGAAAGGAAAATAAGCCTAAAAATAAAACAATTCAAAACCAGATCGGAAAAAAACCCGAGTTCTCATTTTTGATGTCAAAATTATGGCAACAAAAAGAAAATGAGAACAATAATGAGTAAAATTAATATATATTTCCAAACGATTATAATTTTATGTATACATTTCATAACATCATTTTGGGTTCAAAGTTTTTAACAATTTAATTTGTTAAAGACTTTAAAAGTGATACTTATAGCAATGAAAACCATAATGAGTACAATTATTATAAATTTCAAACGACTATAATTTCAAGCTTATATTTTATCCATCATTTTGGGTTTAAAAAGTTTTCAATTTTATATATTAAAGTTTTTGAAGGGTATTAAAATTAATGTTGTTTGTACCTGAGTAATTATATTGAGTGTTTACTAAATTTTACTGTCTATCAAATATTACGTATACGTAATAGGATCTTTTTGAGTTATGTTAATTAACTAATTAAGTTAATTGAATCATTTTTCTAAGGTTTTTTCCAGTTGCCTCCTTAAAATATTTATTCAAATATTTAAATTTAAATTTCATCTGCTTGGCAAATGAAATGTTTATTGTCATAACAATCTTTAGTATGCCAATCTCTAATCGACAGTGAAAGGCAGCGAAAATTTGGAATTATTTCGTCAAAATAAATTGAAATTCCGGAGCCCAAATTCACGAAATCCCCCTGATTTGCTAGATTATTTACCCCCAGCCAGTAGTCACCATTTACATGCAGTTTTTTCATGATAAGCCTCACCTCCTTTTCGTTCCTACCGGATGCCAAATGTCCGCCCATCTGGCGACAGGTGTTTGCAGCGGCAAACCAATTTTGCTTACTTTTGTGTTCGATATAGAAGTACCTTTCACCGATCTGCTCGAACTTCGGCGGAATGGGTTTGGTGAAATTCTTTAAACTCGATAGTGATTCCTGCAAGTCTTGAAATTTGCTTGCCAGCCCGTTTTGAACCTCTACACTGTTAACAAAAAAATAGATTAGCTAAAATAAATATCTGACTCTTGAAATCAACATTTTAGTATTTAAATACATACAATATTAAATAACTATGTTAAATACTTAATGATTTAATATTAATATATTTTTATTAATGTGCAAAATATTATATATTAAAAGCCTAAAATTAAGGTTGAATATCGAATTTAAATTACATTTTCAGATATTTAAATCAATTCCGAAAATAAGCAAATTAAAAATTAAATACTTTGATATAAACGCGATAGAATTAAATCAAAGCGATAAACATTTAAATCATGTTCAAAATATTTGAATTTACAAATTTTATTTTACCTGTTTTCCAATTTTTTTTCCAGTTTTTCAAGCATTGCTTGCATTTTATTATCCATGGCTGAAAGTATCCCTTGTTGCATTGCCTTCATTTTGTTTTCTATGATTATTTCCACACTCTGTTGTATTTCCCGTATTTTAGTGTCACGTAAACTGAGCTTCAGCTCAGCCATGTCATCGAACAGGGGTGAAAGTGCGGCGAGGGTGAAAGCACCACATTGGTGTGGGGCATCCGTAAGTAGACATATGCCCCTATGGCCTTGGGAATAGGCCGGGGATCCCAAAAGAGCCACGGCTACCAAGGCTCACAAAATATAATTCCCGAACTTGGACATACCGCGAGTGTATGATGAAGGCAACTGTCTTCACGGAACTAATTTGATTTGAAGCACAATCTACTCTTAAAAATGCGCGACAAGATTATTATATTTTTGCGTGTTATCTCTGCCGCGCAACCTTTGCTGATCTACATTTGTCAAAATACCGATAATTCAAAAACAAGAGCGTAGCAACGCATATTTTTAAACAATTTAAACATTATAGAAGTTTATAGTATTTCCATGCTACAAATTTTTTAAGAAATCGCCAAAAATATTACGAAAATAATAATACTAGTTATATTATTTATACAAATTACTCTCAAATTTGTATAATACTTTATTGTTTGATATTTGTTAAAGTAAATAAGCAATGTCATTAAGTTAAAATTTAATTTTATTCGTTGCTCATATATGAGTAACTTAGTGTCTGCAAATTGAGTGTGCAGTAATTTTCTTTGTGTACCGAATATTACGTATACGCCTTCATTTCATATTTGTTTTTTATGTTAAAAGATCAATGCAGTGAAACAGTTTGGTTTTGAATTATTTAATTTAACCTTAACGAAAATTACGTATACGTAAGAACACATATGTATGTGCATACATACATACTTACATGTATTGCTTTCCGTTAAATATAAAATTCTTTTATTTCCAAGCCTTTCTTTCTCTTTCTCTTGCCCTATGTTCGCGCTGCTTCCACTTGGCTTAAATTGCATTATTATTAGGCTCATTTGAAATGCGCCGACAACAACAACAAAAGCAAAACGCTGCAGTGAAATTGCAAAAGCTCACTCAGCCAAACAATAAGAGCAACAACAACAACAAAGATAGCAAAAGAGTGGGTGAAGAGGGTAGAAGGAGAGAGAGGCGAAGGAGGAGGAAGAAGGAACGTCAGTAAACTGGCTGCTGCTTATTGTTGTTGTTTCTGCGCTTACTGCTTTTATTGCAGCTGTTTGTTGTTGTTAGTGCAAAAAGCCAAAAGACTACTGTTCATTTCCCACGGTAGGACTCCCTCTCTCTCTCGCTATCTCTCTCTCTCTCTCTCTCTCTTTCGGATGCCATTCCAGTGAGGCAGAAAAAAAAAGAATGAGATGGAGACTGAGTGACTGGCAGCAACAACAACAACAAAAGGGGAGCCTCTCTTTACTGCTCACCCTGTTGTTATTGTTGTTGCTGTTTGAGCTTGATTCGAGCTTCGTTTTTTTTTTCGCCCTCGGCTTTTTGAGCTTCGGCGGATTTGCTCTCATTGTTGTTGTTGTTGTGTGAGTACTTGGATGAGTTTCATTTTCTCATTGTTCAATTTACTGGTGAACTTTGCTAGAATGAACAAGCAGCAAAATAACATAAATAAATGGAAACCGAAAATATACAACAAAAATCGTAATTTTCAGGAAAAACCTTGATTGAAAATAAAACTTAAAAAAAAAAACTATATATCTCATTGTTTAGTACTGATTAACATAGCCAAATTGAACAAGCAGAAAATTAGGGTATTTGAAATTCTTAAAATAAACAGAAGACCAAAATAAAAAAATAAAAAAAAAGTTTAAATCAAATAAAGTTCTTCAAAATTCCATCAATTCCGTCTTGGTAAGTCTTCCTGTTCGGCAACAACAGCGAAAAAAAATAAACCTGTTGTCCGTTTTCGACTTCACTTTGAATGAACAAAAATGTCTTTTTTGTAGTTTCTTTTTGAAGCCTGCGGCTAAAAGCATTTTGTGAGCGCAAATCGTGAGGGGATCGGATCTCTCCCATAGGTTTCCCTCTTCTTGCTTTTTGTTGTGCCTCTCAGAGTTTTAAGCCTCTAATCCCTAAGCAAGGCGCCACCGACCCCAGAGACTCCCTTTGCCCTCCGATGCCCTTCGATGCCCTCCCTTTTGTAATTCCTCAATAAAAATGGAAAAACTAATAAATTTTGCCCAACTAGCGAGTGGAAGGAAGTGGGGGGCTCAAGACTCAGCGGGGTGGCTACTGGAAGCACGACAGAGCCACAAAAAAAAATATATTATTTGTTTTGTCATATATGCAAAGTTCCATAATTTATGATCTAATATACAAAAGAAAAAAGTTTCCAGATTGAAGGATGAAAACTTCGGCGCTTCCCATTCAACAAAACAGAAAAAAAGAAAGAAGAGAAAAAGAAAGAAACAAATTCATTGAAACTTTTAAGATTTTTGGGTTGGGTTGTTTTTTTTTTGGAACTGATCGCGGTGTGGGATATCTGGGATCATTGTCAACATTTTGACCGCTCGCTGTGCCCGTAATCATCGGTCTATTCCCTCCACAAAAACCCCAAACCCCCTCTATCCAAAATCGGATAGAATGACGCCGCCGCCAACATCGATTTAAATGCAAATCAATGTAATAAAACATTTTTTGGTCTTTTCACTTTGGTGGCATTCGATTTACAGATAAAAAAAAATATTTCAAAAGCAAAACAATTGTATTAAATGGGTGTATCAAATAAAATTCCATTATTAATAATTCATTTTAAATTAATAGAAATTTAAAATATCAAAATAATAATAATCTATAATCATTTTAGAGGATTCTTTTTATTTGTTAGATTTACAATATTTACAATATGACAATATTTTATTTACAATTTAGCAGGATTATAAAAGGATCAATTTAAATATTTGTTTTTATAATATTAAACTTCTAGCAAATAAGGTTATATCTTTGTATGCATTTTATAGGCTACTATTTATTTTTCTGTGCGCCAACAGTGTTAAATGTCGCATAAGTTAACCCAATACTATTAATTTCGAATTGAATTCGTGACACCCACGCAGGCGACACCTTTAAGATTATATATCCCCATTATACTATATATCCCCCATGTTCGGAACGGAAGTTCGTGTGGCGCTTAGGAAAAGAGCAGAGAACTAAATGAATCGTAAATCACTTAGAATCCAGGTGAAAATGTTGGAAAAGATGTGGGCTGGTAATTTGTATAGAATGGGGATTGTGTTCCTAGGAAAATGCAGCAATTTACAAGTTTTAAAGCACAAAGCGGAAAGGGAGGTGAGGAATTCCTATTTAGAAACGAAAAAGACATGGGTTGACACCTTTTCAGATCAATTGGGCAGTGATAAGTGTTATAAGAGCCGAGATACAATTGTCAATTTGGTTGGTGGGGATGCATTCTACATGAGGTCAAGTGGTAGAGTGATTTAATGGTATGGTTTCCCTTTTGAACATTAAAGTAATTCAAAACAAATGGTAAAGTGCTTAAATGGTTAATAAAATGGATCATGAGCTCAATTATTTTTCGACAAATTGGAACAGGAGAGAACCTAATCCCTTGTTTGGTTTTTAACTAACTAAGTAATCAAGCTGGAAATTGATTTAAAAACTTAGCTAACGACAAACACTCGGTTGAACAATGGATCCCCTCCTGTCTACCCACTTTGAAAGCTTTTGCCACACACTTTGCCCATTTCTTTATGGCAAATTAATGACCGAAAAAACGAACAAGAATTCCAAATAAACCATAAATTTTATTAATTTCTATAGCGGCTGCCTCACAAAAATAAAAGAGAGCTTTGTGTGTTGGTGTTTTTTTTTTTATAACTGAACAATAGGTTCGATTCATGGAGTTCTGCAGAAATACTACCGAACCACTGCGAACCGCACCCAATTATAATAAAATTCGTTTCGTATAAGTTGAAAAACCTCGGCTGCTCCCACAGAAGTGACAACAAATTTAAAATTTACGAAATAAAAATTAAAATTAAATAAAACACCGCTCGGGCAAACAGCCAAAAAAAAAAAAAAACAGAAAATGAACAATGGACGCGAAAGACTGAAACCGAAAACCCGAACAACGAAAATTAGCATACAAACTGAAGATCGAAGCTGCATATCAAATGAGGATCCGATCCGATCCGAGTTTTGTTGGGCCAGTTCATTCAGATCGTTCGGAATTCATTGATAGATCGTTCGCCGTTCGGTTGCCGTCCCCCGACTAACTGTTAAAATAGACACATCACCCAGCGACTTTACGAGCCAGCGGACCATAATTCAAATTTATGTGAATACACAGGTTCGGGCCAAAAAAATAAATCAAGTCACGACTTTGGTGGGGAGAGAATACACTCGGAAAAAATGCGTTAATTCACAAATGTCATACGATATTAGGCTACGACGATAATAACTAGTTTGGCCTTAACAATATCTCGAATAATGGAACATTATGTGCTTTTTAAAATTTGTAGAGTCCAGAACTAGATGAGAATTATAAGGATACAATGTAATTATTTTTATGAAACTTGAAAGCTGTTTCAAAATGTTAAGTTTTCCAAAAGCTTACAGTTATTTGTTGGTCAAGTTTTAGTTAGAGTTCTAAATATAAAATTGTTTTAAGATATATTGGTAATACTTTTTTGCCTCAAGAGATCTTATATCCTCGATTTTCCCTCAGTGAAGAGCTACCCCCAGTATTTTTAGTACTCGCACACCTTGAATGAGGCCCAGAAACCTGAAGCTAAATGACAACTCAGCCAACTACCGTGCGCCAAATGGAGAAAAGAAAAGATGAAGATGGAACCAAGTCGTCATCATCGGAATCATCATCAGCAACTCATCGCCGCCAACTGTTGACAACGCCTTGCTGCGGTGGCTGCGGTCCAGTTTCATTATTATTAACCAAAAAGTATAAAAAAAAAGCAGCCAAGTCGAAAAAAACCCCAACGGATCCCATTCAACGCCCACGTCTTCGACATTTGCCTGCTTCCACAGATTCATCCGTATACCTTCTCGTGTATATATTTATTATAATTTTTTGCATCTGTCGCGGTCTTTGTTGCTCCTTCAAAATTTATGTGACCGCATCGCTGCCGTATGAATTTTTAATTTTTAACCAATCTTTTTTGTTGTCCGATTTTGTTTGCCTTTTTAATTTTGGCAATTAATGAAACTTAATACTTTTGAGTGCACTGTCTGGGGCAGAAGTTTTGGCTCGTTGGAATTTTTTATTTGGCCTTAACTTTGTTTATTGATAGATTGAGAAAGTTTTAGCAAGGTATTTGGGCAGAACTCAAGGGTTTTTGGCATAACAGATTGTCCGCAGATGATAGATAAGTATACAAAATGGATTATTTTTTTAAGATAAAATGATGAAAAAACTATAAAAAGCTTTAGTTCCTTATAAATTGATAGAGCAAAACTTTGAATTTATATTTCAATACTTAATTCCATCTTTCAACATCCAATAAAATATTGCATTACATTTTTTTCCTCCAAAAAATGAAGTCTCCAAAAATGCCAATACATTTTTTTTGGGCTCTTCTTTGGCCGGTTCATAATTAGTTTCTCCTTCATAAGGAAGCTCCTCGCAATTGTCGAAACGTCTCCTTGTCGATTTTGTTGATTGCCCATTTAAAATATGCAAATTTGATTCGAAAAACCAATAAGACAGACGGAAACGGAGAAAAACAAAAGCGAGGCGGACTAAGATGAAGCCATCAAAGTGGAGTTGCCAACGGATAGCACTTAAAAATGCCCAAAAGCAGTCGAAAATAATTTGTTAAACTTTATGGACAGTCGAAAACTTAATTAAAAACAATCCTTTTCGGGCGCACTTAATTAAAAACACTGGGTGTTAAGTTAATGAAGTATTTTTTTGTTGAATGAAAGACACAATTTTTCAGTTTTCATTGAGAAATCGTAAAAGATAAACAGATATGGTGGGGCACAAAAGATAAACAGACCATCAGTATGGGTGTCTTTTCTGTTTTTTATTTTTTTATTTTGGGTCTAAAGAGGCCACACAAGAAGAAGAGGAGAACAAAGGCGGAGGCGGCGAAGCCAAAAGAAATGCGAGAAAAAAATTTCCCAGGCCCTGAAAACAAAATGGAGCTCCACCAAAAAAAAAAAATAAAAAAGAGAAGAAAAATATAAAAAAGGAGTACTGCGTAATACGGTTGCTCTGCTCTGCCACTGGTTTTTATGTTCCACCTCTCTCGCATGCACACAAAACGGGTTAAGAAGCAGTTAAAAAGAGGGTAAGAGAGAGCGAGAAGGCCAGCAGGAGGGAGAGAGAGACAGATAGAGCCCTGCCCAAAGCCACGCCCACATCTATAAAAACATGCACAGGTATAAGTGAAAGAAAGTTACCTTTTAAATTAACCAGCAGCTAGAAAGAAAGAGAGCGAGAGAGACAGTAAATAACCAAATTCAAAGAAATCGCAAAGATATTACTTTATTCAGTCACCAACACACCTTTCACTCATTAGCGCGCTTAACTTAATTGAAATGTTGACTTACTTAAGCTTAATTAACAGTCAGCTCAGGTAACGCCTTCAAAACCACTCAACTCAGGTAGCCCTCTCTCGCTCTCGCACTCTCCCTGGCTCTCATGCCGCTCTTGAGCTCATTTCCACTGACCAATCAGCTGAAACACTCAAAACTCGTTCGTTCCCGTTAAAACAGTGCGAGAGAAAGAGATGGCCAACCAAGAGAGGGCTGTAAAAAAAGAGGGTAACGAACAAAAAAGAAAAAACACAAAAAGTTCAACCCATCAAGCTGAAGTTTTCGATCGTAACTTTGCAGTTGACTCTCGCGCACAGAAGCGTTCGGAAGTGAAATATATTTTATTAATAATATTACCCAACAGTTGCGGGCTAACAGTGCTACCAAATAAAAAGTTCATATACAAGTGATTTGGCGAAAAGCTGCAGGAATTTCGGGGCTTTTGCAATAGGTAAGTGACGCCATTTTGTGTTCTTCTTGGTGGCTTCCGTTAGAAGCGACGCCATTTTGTGGCTACTGTTTGTTCAGCTTCCGCACTTACGCCTAAGAACTTAGGGAGTGAAAAAGAGATGGCTAGCGAACGTTGCGCATGAGCAGTAGCTTCGGCTACTGGTCTTCGTTTCGTCTCGTTTCTTTTCGTTTCTCTTCGGATGACTCACACACACACACAGTGCCACCGAATTGAGTAACAGACAGGGACAGAGCGATGATCTCGCTTCCTCAACTTCCAAGCAGCGACGTTGGCAGCGACGACGGCAGAGGACGTCGGCAGAGGCGACTACTATTTCTTTCAGTTATTAGTAGCATTCATTCATTCAACTTTGTGCCGCTCGAGCGTGCGTATATAGTTCCCTCTCATCAGTATCAGTATCAGTAAAAGTAACAGTAACAGTAACAGTATCAGTTCCTTCGCGAGTACCTTCAAAAAAGATACAAATCGATCCACGGTCGCAGTCCCAAACATTCGATCGAAAGAAAATCATCTGAATAGAAAACGGTCTACTTCTCGATTTCGAACTCGAAGAACGCGTAATTCCAGTGTTTTCCCATTGGTTAAGGTAAGTCTTTCTTCCGCTCTTCTTCACCTCGTTCTTCTGCTCGTTCTTCCCCCTTCCACACTTGTTTCGCTACCAGTTTTACGCCGCTTTCATTGGACAACTGAAAACTGAGTAAAGAAAAAGAAGAAAAAACCCCACACGTAACACGGGTGCGTGTATCGCCCTCTCTTTCTGCCCGGGCCTCTCTTTTGGGGGCCGTTAAGTGTGCCAGAGGGAGAGAGGGCGTTGCGTCTAATATGGCGTGCGTGTGGCCAACGGAGCTTTTATCTCGCATCTGTGTGTGTGTGAGAAAGTGTCGCCATTTGCCAAAATGGCGGACGCTAAATTTGAACATTTCCCTATTGGATTTAAAAAAGCATTCAACCTTATATCTTGACACAAATTCTCAAATGGGGTTATCTACTTGATCACAAAGTCTTAAATTTTAACCACAACTCAAACATTTGCCTATTGGATTGCAAAGAAAGAAAAGGAAATATATATTTTATGATTTGAAAATGAAAATATTCATAAGTTTCTTTTAAAAATTATAAAACAAAAATTTAAGATATCTTTTTAAAGCCCAAAAACAATATTAAAATTACAAAAGATTCTTGTATGTTACAAATTTAGATTTAAATTTCGCATTTAGGTCTTATAATTAAAAACTAGCTACATTAATGAAAATGTCCTTAATTATCAATAGATACATTTTTTATGTTAACTTTTTTGCGCCTATTTGTCATGTTTAAAAATTATCTATATCCGAATCTTGCTTATGATAAAGGCAAAGTTTTTCTGAGACTTCCACTGACTTTTCTTTTACACATAAAAAACTTAAGGATTCCTTAAAAGTTACAAAAGCCGTCGGCATTTGTTCAGTTCGAACGAATGGAAGTTAAAAAAGTTGATGAGTCAGCATGAAAAAACTTCTTTTAGATTGGACAAAAGCCTAGTTTGTCGAAGGTTGATCGCAAGACGCACAAAACACAGCGAATCATCGCCAAGAATGTCCGACTGATCATCATCAGCCGTTTTGGTACAAGTTTTTAAACTATGACTCACTGAGTTGAGTTTTTTTTCATTCGATTATGAAATACCAATGAGTACGGCTCAAGCTACCAACAGATGTTCCAAAAAGTTTGGTGAATGTCTAATATTTAGAAATACCAAGCTGGCAACACCTGTGCCTAAAGTCCAATGAATCTAAGGGGAAACTTTGGGAAATCAGAGGTTTTTCTATTTTCTACTCACAATTCACAAGTGTTTTGGTAAAGTTTTTCAACAGTTTGCTTAAAATACTTTGAATGAGATCCTCTTAAATGTAAGGAATACATTTTGGAATGCCTTTACGAAGTCTTTTGATTGTTGGTTTATAACGAAAATTAACTCAGAAAACATAAAAGATAAATCTTTAAATATTTGTTTTTATTAATTTTTTTAAAAAAAGGGTTTCCTTATAATTTCAATATCAATATATCTTCAATGTAATTTTTTCTGTGGAAGACTTAAACGCTAAACAATCCATTTGAATAATTTATGTATTACTTTGGTTTCTGGTTTATTGGTTTGTGCATTGAGGAATACTGGAATTTGTACCGCTTCACAGGCGACCATTTCTTTTCCGTTGTTTTCACCTCCTGACTGTGTGACTGTCTGATCTTTGACCTCGTCTGGACCGCCCGTTGCGCTCCATCAATTAGCGTCTAATTAGCTAAGCGATTACGGTAAATGGGCTCAGCTGGCAGCTAATCTCCGTCGACTTTTGAGCAACTGTCATATCTTAACAGCTGAAGGTGAGAAGCGGCTAAAATCGCCCCGAAATTCCCAACCGATTTGAGATGGATCTAAAGATACTATACGTATATCCCATACCTCAATCTATTTGTATCTTTGTATCTTTGTATCTTGTGGTGTGTGTTTGTGTTTGTGTTTGGGGTTAGCTAGCCTTTTGTTCGCGTTGAAGTGGCAGTGCCACATATCCTAATTGTTTCCACCGACTTATTGGTTTCGTTTGTCAGGACTCTGGGTGTTTTTTCCCGGGAATTCTGCGCCATTAGCACAATTAGATTCGTATCAAATGGACTTCGGTACCTTCGGTGCCTTTGTCTTGGCCAGCCTTATGTCCTTTTATTGTCATTTATTCTCGCTTCGGTTTTTTTTTACTTTTTCACTTTTTGGTTGTAATTTTTAATGGCACCTTGCCAACTCACTGTCCGCCTCCTACAAAAAAAAATAAAATAAAGGATGGTGAAAGAAGTGTGGTAATCGCTTTTGACCATATCCCATCCTTCGACGTGTGTGTCACTGGTTTGAGCCCTTCTACTTCTTTTTTGGTTTGGTTTGGGCCCAGTTTTGAGCCTGTTATCGCCCATACCGCTACACATTTATCTCGGGGTGTTAAACTGTAACTCTCGACGCTCGAAGAGTTTCGTGGAAGTCGCCGACGCACTTACTCTGCACTTCTTTCGCCCAAGAAATCTCTGTTTGCCATTTTATTTCTCTTTCCCATCGCTGCAAATCTAATTTCACGCAGCATTAACGCCTTTCGCATGCCCTTCGCACGGCAACCAAAAGCCTTAACTCCAGAGTCAGGATCATGCTGTGCCAAAGATCTCCCAGATCTTCACATCTTCAAATCTCCTTCAAAACGGGATGTGTGTGTGAGTGTGTGTGTGTGTGTGTGTGTGCACAACACTAATTATTTTCAGTGCGGATTAATGGGATTATCTTTGCGTTGGACAACAGTTTATTATACAATATTTGGGCAGTTTTCCATCCACTGATCTGTAAACTGTGATCTTTGGGTGTTCGCTTTTCGCATAAGCGGATTGCCATTCGCAGTTGCCAAATACTAACAGTTGGATATCGCTTTGAATTCCGGATCGGAAAAGGTGCCAAGTAACAGGTTCTTCGATGGTTCATGAAGATTGTTTGGCTTGGGTTTTCAACGGATTAGAAATATCCGCTTAGCAGATCCATAGATTGGGATTTTAATGCTTTAGGCTACCATTTTAGTTTGCAAAAGTTAATACCTTTTAGCGTTACAGAGTTAAGGTGATAAGATTGACTTTGTTTCGGCTTAGATGGGCTTAAATGAAACAATTTTCAAGCAATATTTAGTGATTAGTATTCTCTTGTAAAACAATGTCAAAATTTGGCTTAAGAAATTCTTATATAAGTGGCTTTTGCTAAATTATAATAAATACAATATTTAATAAATATTGTTCTTTGTAACTTTGTTGATTTTTTTGGTATAACATCATAATTGTTTTATATTTTACTTTTGATGATTGAATGCATCAAAAATTGGTAAACAAGCTAGTTATGCATCTTTTCACCTTTTAACTATTTTACTATAATATTATTCAGAAACTTATAGTTATAATTAAACCCCAAGGATAGTCCTGCCATTTGCCATTGGAAACCTTTATTGCTTAAATGGTCCAACTCACTTAACCCTCAAAATTGATGGGCTCACTCAATTGTCAGCTCGAATTTCACCGCTCCCCAAAGGTTTGTCCACCACTTTTTCCCCTGGTCCCCTGTCATCTGAAGACTAAAGACTACACAGACAATTTCATCGTCATCCGACGCATCGCACATCGCAGTAAATGAGCAAATAGAGTGCTTAACCCCGGAGTGCAACCCGTGGCTAATGCTGCTCCACTTAGGCCCACGCTCCCAGGGACAAACTGAAGACTAAAGCCTAAAGACCAAAGACAAACATCCACAGCTCAGCCACTTCCACGTCCAAATCCGAGTCCAAATCCAAAGCAAAGCATGGCCAAATGGCAAAGAGACCCGGACCCAAAGAATCCAAATCCGAATCCAAATCCGAATCCATATCGAATGGATGGCCTTATGCAGGCGCCCTGTGTCGCATGATTAACGGCGTTAAAATGCCAATGTGACGCCACATTGTGTACACAAATTAACATTGGAGGAGTCTCTTTGGGCCAGGCTTTCGACTTTTGGGCCGAGATCCCAGGCGAGGTCCCCGTTCCAGACATGACCAATGCGATCAGCGATCAGCGACCCAAGTCCAAACCTCTCCCACTGGTCAAAAATCGGGGTACCCAAATTAGAAATTATATTCACAAGTTAGAAGAGCAAATAAATCTATTATAATTCTTTATTTCATTTCTAATCTACTTCTTATTATATTAGGGGAATTTTTAGAAGCATGCGTAATAAGGATAAAATGGTTCAAAGATGGGACGATATAAGGATCTTATATTCCATTATTTAACCATTTTCATAATACTAAAACCTTTTAGATATTTAATGCAATATTGTTAGTTTTTAGGGGGTGTCATGCCAACTTAATAACCAAATCATATAACTTTCAAAGGCCATTGCTTTAGTGAAACCAAATGAAATCAATAATAGGTTTCTCAGAATAGAGGCCCTCCCATTTCTCGCAGTGCAGGTCTCTCGCGCGACTCAGTGTTATAATTTGAATATGTTTAGTGGGCATTAATGTTATAATGACAATAACTACGTACCGTCTGCGGCCGGTGCAACACCCGCTGTGACGTTTGCCTTTTGTTGTCAACGTTAGCTCCCCGATCTCCGATCCCCCAAACCGAACCCGTTTCCATTCCCATTCCCATTCCCATTCCGAATATGAATCTGAATCTGAATCCAAATCCCAGTCCGATTCCCATTGCCATTCCCATTCCCATTACCAAAAGTGTTCCAGCTGCGAGCTGAAAGCACCATAACATATAAATAAATATCGAAATCGGGTCTTGCCGAGCCGCTTGTCGCTACCAGTCAGCGCTGGCTTTTGTTTCGCGCAGGAAGAAAAAATACCTTAAGCGAATACCAGTAAATCTGGGAAATATATATCCCGAAAAGAAAAGACCCAAGGGAAGAAAATAAAAAAAAAATTCAGAAATCCAGCGGCGCCGAAATGACAAAAATAAAATTACATAAAAAATAACAGTTGTTAACTACCGCGCTGGCAAGGAAGATGGGGCATAAATTTCAATCGGCTACGCCAGGCGCCAATTAAAAATATACTTGTTACAGCGCCACCTTAATGAAGTGGCCAAAAACAGGGAGAATTTGGCAACTGTACTTGGTCATAACGCGGCGGGGGAGTTGCCAAATGTATTTAACCAGCTGCGAGATGACTCAGTTAATTTAGAAATGCAAACCGACCATGGGAACTTGGGTTTTTATGGCCGTATCTTCATGAATTTTGGTATAGGAGGTATTTTGGCTATGGGAATTCCTTTCAGAAAGGTTTCATTAAAGTCAAAGCATTTATGCCTTTGTTATTCCAAATATTTTGCTTACTTTGAGCGGCGATATGTAAAGAAATGATATTTAAATAGCATACCTAGTGCCTAGCCCTTTAATTGAATAATTGTGTTTGCGGAAATAAAGCGCAGTCCTCTTCCGTCAATGAACTTCACTAAAGTTTGTATTTAAGCACATATATCCAGAGACAACGGTGTCGTTGAAGACAAATTACTATAAGGCCTGCCGAAGGTTAGCAACTGTGAAAAAACAGTTGTCTGGATGTCGGGGTGATTTGTAAATGTCAACACCGCGTCCGAGGTGCGGATTTGGTTGCTTTTAATGAGTCATTGCCGATTCCATGTTGCGTGATCTCGACAACTTGTTGTTGCCGCAAATATATGCATGGAAATAATACCCATAATATGTATACAGCTGTGGTCAATGTAATGGCACTTGGGAATATCCATAAATTAGTAAAGTTGTTGGACAACAGAAGCCTAATCAAATATTTCAAGAAGAGAATAGGTGTTGCCAAGTAAGATTACTTTTGAAAATGATAACTAAGCATCCTTTTATTTTATATATAATAATTTATCCTCTAAAGTAATAATTGATATTGATAAAATGTAGCTAAATCTAGTATTTTCTCAATAGTTCCTCCATTTTAATTTTTGGCATTGATTGAAACTAAAGAAATCAAGGAATCCTTTTAATTCGAATCTAAAATGTTTACCTTGCCTTTATTTTGATAAAAGTCGGAAAATGTTTTAAAATTTAAGCCTTAGGATGAAACATTCTTTGATTTTACAATTTCATTTCTGAAAAGTTCCCTAATATTAATTTATGGCATTGATTAAGTAATCCTTATTTACCTTGCTATTGTTTTGACCGCAACTGTTTAGATACAAGTCGTGACATATAAATATATATATTTTGCTTGAAATTTATTAACCCATAAAAGTTGTCGCAGGCGTTGCTAACTTAACTTTATTGAAACTTTGCGTCTCCCTCTGTTTTAGGTGTTTGCCTTAAAGTGAGCCATAAACTAAAAACCGAAACCTAAAAGTCGGCGGAGAGGAAAAAAACTAAATAACGCCCACTGCAAAAAACACCACCTACTGGTTACCCGTGGAAAAAGCTAAAAAAAAGGGGAGTAAAGGTGAAATCACAGAGCGGCGAAACGAGCAAAAAAAAAAGCAAAAAAAGAAAAATAGAAAAGATAGATAAAGCCGGAAGCGACGTTGCCGCTTTTCACCGACGACCAATCCAAGCCGAAAAGCAGCAGCAATTAACCGCCGGGTGTTATCTGGCAGATAGCGATTAGAGGAACTCAACCCGGTGGAAATAAACCCCCATTGAGTGGAAACGCACACCCCCCACCCCCCCAAACAAATTGAGCCGACCAAAAAGAGCGCCATAGAGAGGGCAGCGAAGAGCGGGAGTGTAGCCCACGGAAATCACCATTTGTCGAGAGCGGGAGTACTGAGTTTGGAGAGCACCGAGAATCGTACCTCGTACTGCCACTGCCACTAAAAAAAAAAGCACTCAACACTCAACAATCAACGCCGAACACAAAACACTCAACTGCCAAGCAGAAGTACACATATCGCCTGTCAAAATGTTTGCTGTAATGCGAATCGACAACGATGACTGCCGGTCCGATTTCCGCCGCAAGATGCGTCCGAAGTGCGAGTTCATTTGCAAGTACTGCCAGCGGCGATTCACCAAGCCGTACAACCTGATGATCCACGAGCGCACCCACAAGTCCCCCGAGATCACCTACTCGTGCGAGGTGTGCGGCAAGTACTTCAAGCAGCGCGACAACCTGCGCCAGCACAGGTAAGCCAAATCCCAAATATCCCAAATATCCCAAATATCCCAAATATCCCAAATATCCCACATCCACATCCCGAAATCAAAAGTCCAACAAAGTCGCCATCACCCCCATTAAGTCTACAGCACAAGAATTTTCACATTTGGTGTAGATATTCTCGTTTTTTTACTGGTTTATTTGATGAGTTTTTATTTTTATTTACACAAGTTCTTACTAAGTACAAAGAATTAAAAAATTAGCACAAAGTCAATTGATTTCACCAGAAATAAGGTCAAAAGTTATATTTCCATTTAGTTGTACTGATTTAACTAATGATTTTTAAGCTGGAAAATTATTGCACAGCATATATTTTCAACAAAATAAATAAAATATTTGTTTAATTCCACTTAAGTTTTTACTGAGTACTAATAAAAAGTACAAAATTCATTGCTTTCACCAGAAATAAGGTTAAAGTAACATTTGCATATGAGCTTAGCAGTTTGAATTTTTCTAACAAAAAAAACATTTTCTAAATCTTTTCAAATAATCAAACATAAAAAAAAGTTTTTCTATGAATAAATTTATGGGTCAAATCAATTATAATTCTCTCCAATATAAAAGCAACAGGATAATATTATATTTGTAAATAAAAACATATCAAAGAATAGATGTAAATGTAATGTTAATTTTCATTGGTGTTGGTTATAGAAAATAAAATGCGAATTATAAATCCCCTTTCAAGAGATTTCTTCTTATTAAGTATTTAAAAACAGAACTCATAAATATATATAAATATACTTAGCTGGGGAAAGGTATATTCCCCTTTGTGTATGAATTTGAATTTATAATAGTAGCTTATGCATATTTTAATGAAAGTTGAGCAATAGCAGGAAAATTAAGTTATAAATTCCTTATTCAAATAGTATTTTAATTTGTAATCTGTCATATTAATTCGATTTGTTAGTAATCAATTACAGCTGAATATAAAATTTAGAGTTCGTTAAGGGAAAAGTACAATTTTATGTAAATAAACTCGTGATAAACTTATAACAAATACAAATGATATACCTATTATCTATAAATTCGGTAAATTAGTACCAACTTATCCAAAAAAAGCTAATATAACCACCGAATTTACCGAATTAAAAGCTTTTTTTGATTGATAAAAAGCTCAATCGCTCACAATCGGCACACACGCATATACATAAACATCTAACCAACCATAAAACAACCAAAATCATATTTTTTTTGGGGCAGTTAGCAACGCTTTGTTAAGATTACCAAATATTATTATAATTTTTTCTACCACATCACGAATTATTCTCTATTTTTCTCTGTTTTCTCTCTCTTCTATTTGTAGATGTAGTCAGTGTGTTTGGCGATAAGCTAAAATACCATATAAACATATATATAAATATATATAAAAACCACACACAGAGCAATATATAAAGTAAAACCGATATCTAAGCACCGCAGCACCAACAACAGCACGCAATATCACAGCTATATCTTACACACACATAAAATGAATGAATGGGATCTGATGAGGCAACTGCAACAACACACCCCGCCTACTTCTTCATGCACCACTCTTTAAATATATACATATATAAATATATATAAAAATATTAAAAACCTGCAACACCGGCAACTGCAATATTGCTTAAACTACTAGATGCAATCTACAGCCACGACAAGCGATTATAGTGAATGGAATGCTAAGTTCAGGTGTTGGTTTTCAATCTATTCGGTTATCTGGTCTATACAATGCACACTTGCCACGCCCCCCATCATCAGCAGAACAGCAACAAAAAGATATCCAAATGTTGCGCAGGCGCAGCACAACAGCAACAGTTGCAGCCGTTGCAACGAACATTGCAACAGCAGCCACCATATTTTCAATAATATTTTCAGAAATCTACACATGGACACTTGTGGGCGTGGCTGCTTCGGAAAATGATGAATATGCAACCCCAAAACAACCAGCAACTTGCAACACGCACCAACGAAAAGCTTGCAACATCCTAAATTGCAGCGAATTTCAAAGTTGCAGCTGGAAGAAAATAAAGCGCAGCACCTAAAAAAAGGAACATTTTCAACAGCAACACTAGCCATGCAATATCCTGCAATATTTACGTTAAATTCCTTTAAATATCAGCATTCCCGCCAGCACCAAGCCACCAGCAACAGCAGATCATCAATTGACATCCCAGAAGAGCTCAGTAAAACAGCTAACAAAAACCGCATGCAACACAACAGCAACATGTTGCTGCTGACTTCCTCACGTGAGTGTTGCTCGTGTTGCCGGTGAAAGTGCAATTAAGCCAAAGCTTCTTGTGCTTTTTAATATATGCAGGCAACAACAGCAACACACAACAGAGCAACACACCAGCAACTTGCAACATCCACATGCAACAACAATCAGCTGCAATTATCTTGCCTTAAACAATATTAAAGATTTACACACATTCTACACCCACACTCTCGCTATATTTTTATGAATAATAAATAATATAAATAATAATATTAAAAATGCATAAAATCAAAAAAGAAACACCCACACACACGCATACATCATAAGTATTTGTATTTTAAAAAATCGAAAGAAAAAACACGTTGAAAATGTATTACATAAAATTAATAATAATTAATAATAATAATAATAAAAACAATTATTAAATAAATATTTACTATATGCGATTGTTTTGTTTAAGTTTAAATTTTAAATAAATAAAACGAAAAGAAAAGAAAAAAAGCGAAAAATTGTGCGCAAAATCAACGAAAAATAATGAGAAAATTGTTTTTTGTTTTTGTTTCCTTCTTTTAAGTGCCCGGCAATAAGATTGTAAATGTTTTTCCGCTATTTATAATAAAAAAAATCATTAATAATGCCATCCTCCCTCTGGACATTTTCTGTTTTATTTTCCCCGAGTAAATCAGCTTAAACGATAAACAGCAATGTATGAATAAACCTAGATTTAACGGCGAAACAATAAGTAATTAAATAAACATATTTATACAATTAAATGAAAATTCAACCAGAAAAAAACAATTAAATGTTTTATTTTTTGAATGGGAAGAGGGTAATTAATGGATATTTGATTGGTCTATTCTTTAGGTCGGTTGCAACTATTGTAAGTATTTTTCAGAGCATTACTGATAAATTAAAAAAAAAGAGCTGTAGAGTTGAATAATAATTATGAACATTTGTTTAATCAATATAATGTATGTGACTAGTGTAGGTGTTTTCCATCGATGCATTCTTACTAAAAACCACTTGAAGCGCATATTTATTTATGCAAATAGGTGTTTAGGTAATAGTCTTAATTATTTATAACTGCTAAATTACAGAGAACATCAGTAATCTGACAGATTACAGCGCAACTGCCATGTTTTTATGCGCTTCTGTTGCTTTGGAAAAAAATTAATTGCTAGACAAATTAATTTGCCTTCCCCTTAATTACCTTCCACATAACAACTGCATATGCTATTTTCTGTTGTTGGCTTAAGCTTAATTGATTTACCAGCACAATACTTATAATTTTAAAGGAAGATCTAGCTATTACTTAATATTTAATGTTTTATATTTTAAAATATTGTTTTAATTTTGAATAAACTGGTGTTTACAAACTCAAACGAAGCTATTCTTCTTCTAACTTATTTGGTATATAAAAAGAAACATTGAAACACACTTGTTGAACTGATTTACCAATTTTTGAAAGGTTTATACAATCCTAAAATTTTTGAAATATTTTATTCTGTTTTTAATTAATATTGTAAATAAAAAGAAACATTGAAAAAACACTTACTTAAACAATTTTTGAAAGGCTTATACATTTTTGGGCGCCTAAATTTATAATCTATCAGTGGTCCTTGCTTTCGTTTACTAATTTCAAAGTTCTTATCATTAATTTGCTGATTTTTGTATTTTTGTATTAATATAAAAATATAAATTTTATTAAATATGCATACTAAAATATTTTATAAATGCAAATGTTTTTACAATAGATTGAAATACATTTCGAAATGTTACCAACATTTCACGTATTTAATTTGCCATAGAGCCGATTGAATTCTTATCTGCAGCACGTGGGTGTACTGTGTGCACTGTGTGTTCAGGAAACTTCTCACCTCCGGTGTGTGTGTGTGTGGCTGGTATCTCCCCTTTGCGAGCACCCACTGTACCTGTGAGGGATGCGATAATCAATTCATCGCAACGTTTGCCGAGCATTTAGGTTAACTATTTACCGACAATTAAGCAAGCTATTAAGACCAACTGCTCCTTTGTCGGCTCGCACAATTGGTAAATACCATCGGGGAATATAATTTCACATGCGATCATAAATCATTTCTCAAGTTCGAAATTCCCATTTCCAGTTCCAGTTCGAGTTCCAGTACTCTTCGGCCTGCTGCGTTCGTGTTAATTAAATATTGACTATGTTTTGATAAGCCGTAACATTTGCCCCGGGAGGAGTCCTCCTCACACTCCGATTTCAGGTTCGATTTTCCACAAATTTAAATGTTAGCAGGATTCCGGAAAAAAAGGGAGAAAAAGAGAGATACCGAAGCAAACCCACGGCGAGTTGCACATAATGAAAGCGTTTCCAAATGCGAAACGAATGCTGCAACAGCTACTGTGGCGAGTGTGGGCCAGGACATATAGACATATAGATATAGGGCCTGTGGTTGGGATGTGGCCTGTGGTTATCGCGGCAGGTACAAAAGTGGTCAGACGAATAGGTAGAACTGCTACCAAATTATCGAAAAAGGTAACCGAACTGCAGGCTTAGAAATTGTCAAGTTTTTGAATTATAAAAGGAATACAAGCAACAAAAAAAGCTGTAAGTGATTAGGTTTTTTAGACAGACTTTATTTTAAATACATTTTTTTTTTACAAAATATCGCCATATATCCCTTTTAATGCCTAAAAAATATTGTATTAAATGTGTAAATGATTGGGTTCTCCTTAGATTGACTTTCTATAGTTTTTCTACGTAAGGTTTAGGGCACTCTCCAAATATATATGGCATATATCCTTGTTATTGCCAGAAAAGGAAGGCAAACAACAACGATCTTTCGCAATTGGCATGCCCAGGCATTGGTCTCGCATTTCTCGGTGGCACTTCTATTATTTTGACCTCCGCTGTGGAGCGGCATGTGGTCGCCTTCCGGGGCACGTGTGGTTTTCCAGCTAACCGCCGCCGAGGCTGCTGCTGCTGAACGCTGCTGCATCCGCCTTCGCCTTCGCTTCCTGCTGCTCCCATGGCATTAACCTAAACTGTTTCCACCTTCGCTGCCAAAAGGACGACGTCCACGCAGTTGGACTTCGGTTCGCCATCGCAAAAGGAGCGGATTGGGATTGGGATTGGGCACTTCGAACTTACGAAGTATAGAAGTCACATTCAGAGTCAAATCCGGGCCAAAAGGAGGCCCGAACGGAGGCCCGCTGTGTGCGCCGTCACCCGCTGATTTTGTTGGCCGCACATTGGCTTATAGCCCGAAACCCAGCGCAAAACTAAACCAAACCAAAGCGATACCAGACTTATCGCAAATACTCAGGGGCGAGCCACTGCCCACCCACTCGCAATCAGCACTTGCAGTCCGCTGAATAAATTTTATAAGTAAAAAAAAAAAAATCTATATACTGACTAAAAAATTTTAACTTCATGATTCTATAATGAGCATAACATTAACCGTTTCTTAATTAGTCAAACAAGAAACTATTAAATCAGTCTTAAGGAAAACAAACATCATCATTATCAATGTGGGTCATCTCAACTCAAACTCAATCTCAAGACTGATTCAACACTTCGGTAGCGCAATCAGCATTTCCGTCACAGAAAAAGGTGCCAGCTTGGATTTTTTTTAAGCGCATATGCAGATTTCTTTTATGGCCTGATTCACCACTTTTCATGAACGTTGAGTGGCTACTACAAATAACCCATTTTCTCACACCACTGACTCACTCAAATTTCTATCTAAGTCTGCGGATAAATCTCACGCAGTCACATCTAAGCGAGATATTTGGCAACAGGTTCCATGCCTCCTCCAACTGATCAAAAACTGATCTCCAAGGTGCGACGAGACGAGTCAGCCGCATATATATCTGGGCAGCAACCTCAGCAGCAGATTCCAACTCTCAGACCTTTCGGAATTCAGATTCAGATTCCGACTCAGACTTTGGGACCCGTTAAGCGACGGTGTCTAACTCATTAGATGTCATTTGCTGATAAATACTTGATATACTCTACATAGCATGTTTAAACGAAAGAGTACTTATGTTGATATGTGTGTTTTCAAATCAAAAAAATTTGTAAACGCACGTTTTTAGAGAGTACGCCAACAAGAATGTAGAGATAAACCACTTCGAAATCGGATGCCTGAAAGAAAAGTTATGAATTTAGAGCTTATGAAATTAAAACTGAAGGTTTTTGGTAGTTTTCCTGGAATTATATTTTTCATAAATTGATTAAGTTGTTATATCGTAAAAATAGCAACTCTAAATTTCAAAACAAAATTTAAATGCAGACTTTTAGAGACTTAAGCCACGAGACTTTCAAGATATACCACTTAGAAATCGGATGCCTGAAAGCAAAATTCTGGAATTAAAACTGCAGGTTTTTGGTCACTTTTCCGCAAAGCCATTATTCCGATTTTAAGAAAGGGGTAACATCATAAAAATTACAAAAAATCGACTCGAAATTAGAAACCAAGATTTGAACGCAGAGTTTTAGAGACTTAAGCCACAAGACTTTTAAGATATGCCATTTTAAAATCGGATGATTAAAAGAAAAGTAATGGACATAGAACCGCAGGTTTTTGGTAATATTTTTGGAAATACATTGTGACGAATAATTTTAGAATTTTGTCCTTTATTTAATATGAAATCAAAGAAGAAATATTCAAATTACATTTAATAAAATTAAAGGGAATCCGTTCTTCGATCTTTTGATGTGCCTAATTATACTACGTAATAAGTGACAGTGGGTTGGCCATATATATACATATATATAGTATATTCCTACTCCAGTGAGTCGTATCCCCCGTATGCGATAACATCAGTGCGACGTATTGGAATGCTTCGCCGGGTTGTCATCACGTAGGATCGCATAATTCAGCTTTTTACGGCTAACGGGCGGCCGCTCCTGTGGCGGCTGCTGTATGTGCAATTAAAAGATCCCAACTACCATAAAGTGCAGAGAGCCAGGCACTCCATATAAGCAATCTACACCCTCAGAGGCATCAAAATATATATAGTATATGTGGTATAACCAAACGGATTCCAAAGCGGCACGTACAAACTCGCGGCTATTTGTCTGCTGACTTGTCTGCCTGCTTCTTAACTTATTTTACTTTATTTATTTATTTTTGTTCCGCATTTTTGTTGCTGTTTTTGCTGCTTTTACTTGGCATTGTGATTGTGGCGGAGCCTAAAAAAAAAAAGATTTGTGGCCGGTCCAGACTTCAGATCCCGGTGCAGGACCAGGACCAGCTCCAATCCATGTTAACTTCCCCGTCCCAGTCCCAGTCGCAACTGCAAACTGGCTGCCTGTCGCTTTTAATCT